CAGGTCAGGTCAGGTCAGGCTAGGTCAGGTCAGAAAAGGTAGAAAAGGTAAACGAGTCGTATTCTTCAACAGCGAACCTTAAGGAGCACATAACGCGGTACAATGCATTTGCCATGCACAATATATCTTGCGGTGGTACGCGCGGCTTTCGATGGCATAATCTGGCAAATAAAAACATTTTTTTATAATTCAAGAAACACAGTTTATTCCAGACAAAATACAGCATTGACAGTTTACAGGACGAACATGGACTTCTACGTCAAACTTTGTGAACCATTTCCCGACAACTTCAAAACATGGCTTAATTTTGCTTACTTACCTGCTCGCTAAATACTTTTCAGAGATGAAAGGATTATTTCCACTGTACCTGTGCTGGCTCTTGTTGGCGAGCTTCATTACTTTCGACCAAGTAGCACAGAGCTGCCTTTGAATCCTTGAGCTGGCTTTACGTCTGTGCAATATCATCAGCTTGCAGTCCACGCGTCCGGAAAAGCGCATGAACTGGGTAAAAATACCGGCAGAACAAAAGACGCTACATGAAGATGGCACGCCAATACCCGCAGCCCGAGCCCACGATAACCTCACCACTAGAACGTTAAGCACGGTGACTCGCCGCGGGAAGCAGGCGAGCCGTGCATCGTGGCCACGCCGCGGCGACCATCGGGGCCGCGACGGACGCCTGCATCAACGGAGGCCGCGGCTGCCGGCGCCGCTTCACCAGGGAGGCAGGGCCGCGGCGACCATCGGGGCCGCGACGGACGCCTGCATCAACGGAGGCCGCGGCTGCCGGCGCCGCTTCACCAGGGAGGCAGGGCCGCGGCGACCATCGGGGCCGCGACGGACGCCTGCATCAACGGAGGCCGCGGCTGCCGGCGCCGCTTCACCAGGGAGGCAGGGCCGCGGCGACCATCGGGGCCGCGACGGACGCCTGCATCAACGGAGGCCGCGGCTGCCGGCGCCGCTTCACCAGGGAGGCAGGGCCGAGGCGACCATCTCCCTCGGCACGCCACACCGGCCGCTTCCTCCCCCCCCCCACCCCCCCCCCCCCCCCCTCCCGTCCCCTCCGCCGCCATCCCAGACGCAATGAATGCATACTGATGCCGCACGCCCTGGACGAATCAATAACAAATGGCGGTCAGTTCCTAGAAGGCGGCAGCACGGCCCGGTTCGGAATGCCGGACGGAGCGTTCGGAAGAGAGGTAGCTGCTGCTGACACATCTCCCGATTTTCGTGCCGAAAGGTGAGAAGAATTTCGCTGACGCCTGCTGGCCGCAGATAGTCCGGCCGGCCTGTGCGGGACCGATCTCGCAAAATTGTTAAGGGCTGAATTAGCGTAATCGGGCTCTCAGAATAGAGGCCATGTCACCGCATAAACAAGACATGAGTTCAAAATTGCTGCCCACCCGCCACGGTCCATAACGTGTGAGCGATACATTAGGCTGACCTCGCGAATGCCTGCAGGTCAAATCCCAGACTTCAGGGACTGAGCATGCAACCATTTAGCAACGGGCGATATTGCACAACTCCGGCATCGCTGTGGACGCTAATTGCTTCGAGGAGGCCTGTGGGCTTCCGCGCAGTTTCGTCGTGCCAACACTGAAATGCAGCTATTACGATGCGAGCGTTGCCGCAGCACTATTGATGTGACGACGATGGGCCTGGTACGCCGCCGGTTAGTAAGGTAACAGCACGACACGAGTGGAGGACCTCACGGAGCTCGCTGCGTTCAATGACATCGAATGTTGCACACTTTCTGGACTTTTTTATTTCATCACGAGCATGAGGTTATTCTCATGTTCCTCTACATTCAATGGAATCATTACGATACGGTAATTTCCACCGCCGCTGCGTCACCCACGCTGCACGCATGGAGCAATAGGTCACCAGATTCGCTGCTCCGCCCTGACACTCAACTCTGGCTCCAATCTGACTCCACTGCGTCTCACAGCCAGACGGAGATTGTCCTGCTGAAGGCAGCACCGGCGCATCCCGAAAACACATTCCTACAGCTGAAACGAGCACGCAGACACAAACCAACACGACCTCATCACTGCCTCGACCGGCCCCCTGAGCGAACACGACGCAAGCCCGGCTGGCAACACTATCGCTCCGCTCGCGGCGGGACGCACTCGGTCACAACTCCATCCGAAGATAGCTCGGCGTCCCCGGCGGCGGGACTAGCGTCCAGCAACTGACAGACGAGCTGACCGGCCGCGCGCACCAGCCGGCCGAGCCGCGGCCCGACGCCCGCGTGCCACCGGCCGTCTCGCAAGAGGAACGGCTCCGTTCCCGGATCAGATACGGTCAGGCTGGCTTTCAAGGTGTGATTGAGCGGTAAGTCACGGCCGGAGGTCATGACGGGCGGCCAGACGTCAGGCTGATCGGAGGTCAGATGACATCGATGTCCTCATCGCTCACCGCCGAAGTTGTCGCTCCAAAACGCCCATAGAGCATAGCCACAAGTTCTACCAGGGTTATGAGCGTCCCAGAACTTCACTGGGCGAATCTGAACCGTCCATATTTCACGTGAGGTACGTTGAGAACATAACTGGTTGAAAAGTCTATCCTAGGCCGCCCGCCTGCAAGGAAGTTTTGACCGCCACCAGTGAACTTTCCTACACCGTTGGTCGAGATAGGAGATATGATTTGTCGCCGCGTTTTTCGGAGCCGGCGCCAACGGTTGTTGTTTTCCGTTGGTGAGCGAAGCGGCACGGCCGAGGCAGACAGCGGGGGGCCGCACGGTAAACAGGGCGGCTCTGAGACACGAAGCTGCGCGACCACGGTAAACAGGGCGGCGCTTAGACACGGAGCTGCGCGACCACGGTGTTGCACGGCACGGCACAGCACAGCACGGCACGGCACGGCACGGCACGGCACCGGACAGCATAGCACGGCACTGCACACCGCGGCACTCCACAGCACAGCACGGCAATGGACAGCACGGCACGGCACGGCGCGGCACGGCACGGCACGGCACAGCACTGGACAGCACGGCACTAGATAGCACTGCACAGCACAGCACGGCACTGCATTGCACAGCACAGCACTGGATAGCACTGCACAACACGGCACCGCACAGTACGGCACTGCACAGCACAGCACGGCACAGAACAGCACGGCACTGCACAGCGCTGCAATGCACAGCGTGGCACTGCACAGCACGGGCACGGCACTGCACAGCACGGCACGACCCCGCATGGCACTGCAGACGCAGTCGACGAATAAGCTACCGCCGATAAAGCAGCACGGAATGCCGGCGACACATTCTCGTTTTCTGGGCGCGTGGGCAGGGCCATTGCACACCCTGTTATGAGGTGCCAGTTTCTACCGTAACAACATTGCCGCCCGGAGGCTACAGCTCCACCCTGGGGCTCCGCGTGGAAGTCGAAGTTAATGCTAGCTGGGTTATTTCTTGCCTGGCTACACGGTTCACGCAAATCGCCTGGAACAGCCACCCGCGTGGCCGCCGTAGTCAGCATACGTAATGACGATTTGGCCTGGTCGCCAGAGGTTTGTGATTAGGATGCTGTTCCCATCGAGGACGAGTTATATCCCCCCCCCCCCCCCCCTCACGGCACCTCTGGCGTGAATTCGTCCACGCCAGGCTACAGACAGAAGCTCAACAAAGCAGATGGTGGAACACTGCGCCACACCAACCCGTCACGCACTCCAGCAGGCCCGACTCGCCCCCGTCCGGCCGAGGCCCAGCACGCCGATACGCATGCTAATGTCTGCCGCGCCAGACAGCTCGCGCCGAGCCATGCCCTCGGGCCGGGCTCCAGCGCGGGACAGCGGGCTCCAGCGCAGGACAGCGGGCTCCAGCGCAGGACAGCGGGCTCCAGCACAGGACAGCGGGCTCCTGCGCAGGACATGCCGGGCTCCAGCGCAGGACATGCCGGGCTCCAGCACAGAACATGCCGGGCTCCAACGCAGGACATGCCGGGCTCCAGCGCAGGACAGCCGGCTCCAGCGCAGGACAGCGGGCTCCAGCGCAGGATGCGCCGGGCGGCCGGAGCCGGAGGGGACCTCCTAGCTCCGGCTGTGGTGTCACCGGGACAGGCCTGGCCCGGCGAGCCGCCGCCAGTGACGGGGCGCTGTCACTGTCCCCGCCTCATCACTGACGCCATCAATGGCGGTTCACATGCGTCACATGGACGCTGCGGGTTACACGAGACACCAGCTGTTCCATTCTTCAGTCGATCGTAAGTGGGAAAGACTGGATGTGGAGCAGGTTAACCTCTGCCCCGAAGACAGCACCAGACTAGCTGCCCCTTGACGTCCAGACCTGCTCGCTACCTCGGTCAGCGGTGGTGGCCGGTTGCCAGGCAGGGTACTGGGACGCGATACAGTTGCTCCCTGACGTCCAGACCTGCCCGCTACCTCGCTCAGCCGTAGTGGCCGGTTGCCAGGCAGGGCACGGGGACGCGATATAACTCTCTGGTCGGACTGACAAGCGGCCACAGTGACGGCCCGGAAAGTCACGGGCAAGAGGAGCGCGTGATTCTTCTCACGTGGAGCCAAAAGCCGACAAAAAGACTTTCGAACGATGTTGGTTTGCATGCACGGTGGGTGTGAAATGTCATCACCGCCGCCATTTCCTTGGAGCCCCACCGTCAGCGAGCATACCGTTCATCCATCCAGCTGCCGTCGCGCCACGCTTCTATGCGGCGTGCATGTCCTAGCGCGCACAAAGCCGCGCCCCAGTCCGATCGTGCGGCACGGACACCAGGTGATCACGGAAACATCCCGTCATTAAATAATCCAGTCCTGGCAGTGCGACGGCTAATGGACCTGCACTGGCGGGCCGTGCGGCCACCGCAGTACAGGACAGGCCATTCCCAAGAGAGGACGACGACGGCCGCAGACACCGCCGCGCGGCTCCCAGCGACGTCGGGGCCGCCGTCAGCCGCCGTCTGGACCGCACGGCTGCCGACCCGGCGCCACCGACCGTCGCCTCGCCGCGACGCCATCGTAACACGGCCACACCCAGCCAGCGGCAACCCAGGCAGTCAGAGCGTACGGAGTCACTGCTTCGCCCCCAGAGCGGTGGAGACTTACGATTCTGCCGTCGCCACTGCCGAGGTCGACCAGCGGGCCGGAGCGACCCTTGAGCACGCGCAGCACGTTCATCACCTGCTCCGTGGTGGCCGGCACGTACGGCAAACACACCTGCAACCAGGCGGCGTCACACACGGTCAGCTGGGTCACACACGGTCAGCCAGGCTACAAACGGTCAGCTGGGTCCCACATGGTCGGCTGGGTCCCACATGGTCAGCTGGGTCCCACATGGTCAGCTGGGTCCCACATGGTCAGCTGGGTCCCACATGGCCAGCTGGGTCCCACATGGTCAGCTGGGTCGCACACAGTCAGCTGGGCCCTACATAGTTAGCTGGGTCACGCATGGTCGGCTAGGTCACACACGGTCCGCAGCGTCACACATGGTCAAAGACCCGGTCACAAGAGCTTGAAGAGGGGACGGACAGCGCAGGGCTGGTATGCGCGAGCCCGCAGCCCCTAGCGAAAGGCAACTGATGGTATGGGGAGTGGCCCACCTGCTGGGACATGTCCCGTACACAGTGGCCATGCGATAGTTTTGTGGCACTTGATTCTAACTTTCAATGCTTAGGGATATCATAAATGGGTGAAATCACAAGCTATTCCTCTGGCTGTCTGGGAGATATGACCACCCCTAACCGATCGGCGACCGAGCGGTCGTCAGTGACGTCACCTTTCTGAAGGCGGGCGCCACGAAGGGCCAGCTGACAACGGTAAGGCCGACGGCGGCGGCGCCCGTGATGGAGGCCATCACCAGCGCCACCTTGCTGCGCGGCCGCTCGGCAGGTGGCGCTGCCTCCAGCTCCCCTTGCAGGTCTGTGTCCATGATGCCTCAGCTGGGGTCAGGTCAGGTCAGGTCAGGTCAGCACAGTCAGGTCAGATCAGGACAGGGCAGGGCAGGGCAGGCAGGGCAGGGCAGGGCAGGGCAGGGCAGGGCAGGGCAGGGCAGGTGTCTGCTGCAGCCAGCCCAAAGCAGCTCTGCCTGTCTCTTCAGACCATATGATGGCTCAGCCTGGAAAGGAAACAAAATGGTAATGGTATTGTCATTGAATAAACAGGAGCATCCAGCAAACCGGAAAGGTATGTCATTTAGCCTGAACACTGAGTAATGCTGACATGTACATAAAAGCTTCATGCCTTTGAATGCAAACTCAGTTTTTTACCATTGATTCAAGCCAATGTGAAAGGACAGCCCTCAACTTGCTCAGAACCACATCATCCTAATTGTGGTAAATTAATTGTGGCTAGGGAATGGCTGTCTCCCATGCTTACCACAGTTACACCATAACAGCAATGCATTGCATGTACATAAGCAACAAAAGATGTGTATTTACTCCACAGTCCTTGGGAGAAAAAGGCTAAACCATCCCCTAGAGCATCTGCTGCCACTGTGACTTGTCACTTGGTCAACAATGCTAAGGTGGTAGGGAAGATAATCATGCTAACTTTGGTTGTTACACTTGTTCAAAAGCAATCTATCAATTTGCTTCTATTGCATAGTGCAGAATTGTAACCATGACCTAAGCACATACAACAGGTCTAGGGTGGCAGCCAAAAAGGTCGGGTCTAGGGTGGTAGCTTTTGGCTACCACCATGTATGCCACACTCACACAACTAAATAAGGGATACTTTTCAGCCAAATATTTCTGTCATACCACACATAATCTTTCCTCTCAATGCACTCAGTGCCCAGTTTCACTGCTGCCCACCAGCACAGGTTCAATGGGCTACAATATCTGGCAAGGCCTAAAAAACCAGCATATGACTCAGACACACAAATCTTCTGTAATGGTTCCTCTAATTGCCTTGAAACCTTCACCAATCTACTCCACGCAATCAGGTGAGTCATGGGGAGGCAATATCGAGACCTGATCTGAGGTCAAACACCTCAAAAACATGAAGCGAAACACTGTGAAACCTTAACCACTGGATGACCCATACCTGACTTTCTGTTGCAGTTCCAATATTTGGTGACCCTAGGTCAGGACAAAAGTAATTAAACTTAACAAAGTCCAAAATTCTTGCTTGCAGACAACTTGCAGCTCACAGCCTACCAGACCAATCACTGCCAAATGTTCACCATTGTATGCCGCACACCTGATGCCCACTTGCAAACCTAAATTTGGTGACCCTAGGTCAGGTCAAAAGTTGCCAAAGCTCACAAAGTCCAAAGTTCTTGCTTGCAGGCAACTTACAGCTCAGAACCTATCAGACTGAGCAGTGCCAAGACTGTACCACTGGGTCACCCATACCTGATTGCCTCTTGTAGTTCCCAATTTGGTGACTCTAGTTCAGGTCAAAAGTCATCAAGTTTCACAGTCCAAAATTCTTGCTTGCAGACTACTTACTGCTCAGAACCTACCAAACCAATCACTGCTGGTAGGTTCTGACCTATGAGTGGTCTGCAAGCAAGAATTTTGGAGTTCATAAAATCTGATGACTTTCGACCTGACCTAGGGTCACCAAATTTCAAACCGCACGGGTTACCAGGTATGGGGCAACTAATGATGAAGGTTTTACAGTGATCGCTTCGGTAGCCTCTGAAATCTAAGCTATCTGCATTTGCATGTAAAATTTTCCCTTTGCGTTTCTGAGGTGTTTGACCTCAGGTCAGGCCTCGATATTCCTCATATGACTCACCCCGTTGCACGTTGCAATTGATTGGCGAAGGCTTCAAGGTGATCGGACGAGCCGTTTCGGAAAACCTGCGCGTCCGCGTCACACGCCGGCTTTTTAGACCCCACTAGTACCAAGCAAGGTACCAAGGCCCTAACCAGTACATCTGGATTACGAACCGAGGCCACACAAACTGTGCCCCGACATCTGACTGCCATTGCAGTATGGGTGATTGGTTTTTAAGGAACGTCCCAATCCGAACCGTAAGATATGCCTTAAAAATATTGCATTATTTTGATCGTGTGTTGTTCTCACTTGGTGATAAATTTATTAAGGTAGCCATTCAGTATTGTTGGGAATGTACGTGCGGGGGAATTGCGTGATCCGTGTTGGTACTTGCCCTCTGGCATGATGTGTAGGTATTTTTAGCATTTATTCATTTTAGAAAATTGTTGTTATACAAAATGCATTATTGTTTTCAAGGGTCAGATTTGGCTAATGGTCATTTAACTTACAAATCACAGCACAGTGTCAGGTGTTATGCTACAGTTGCAGGGTTTGCATGCTGTTTGCAACTGTAGAGCCAAATTCTTTCCCCTTAGTCTGGATCTTTTTAATCCTATCCAGATGGTTTGCCCTCTGCCTTGATAATGATGAGCTCATTTTTAGCATACCATGAGCCCATTTGTAGGATGTTGTCATCTAAGCATGAACATGTTATGGATGTCATTGAGATTAAAGTGTGACATCCTGATGACTTGTACAAGCTACTGGAGCAATATGACCTAACCTGACTTGTCATTCTGAGTGGCTTTTGATAAGTGTATCCTCAAATTTCCTCTCATTTCAGATATGGCCCTGTCACAATTTTCCTGGGGAATTTTGGTAGTGATTGGTATTCTCATCTTATATTCCTGTTCCACACACTGGATTTTTGGCGAGCACCATGCAAGTATCACCCCTGTGCTGGTAGAATTTGAACATTTTGCTAACAATATTTCCTCAACATGTGCCGAGCTTGCCAAGCAGTTCTCCTCAGTGCTGGTCGTCAGCGAGTTCCCCCCATACCCGCCACTGAAGTTGGCACCCCCCTGCCTACTTCACACCACCTCTCCTTCCATCGACGTTCCCGTGCTGGAGCGCCTGCACCGCGGCCTCGTCAACACTACGCACGTGCTCCTGCTGCCCGACTTCGTAGCTGTTTCGGACTTCGCCCGGCTGGCGGCGCTGGTGAGCGGCCGGCAGGCGGCGCTGGTGGCGTTGCCGGCTGGTGCGCTGGCGTGCGAGCGCGTGCGGCTGGACGCGCGCCGCTGGACACTGGAGTATGCGGCTGCCGGGGGCCGGCGCTGTGACGGAGTCAGCGGGCCGCACGGCCTGTTGCTGCCGGCTGAGCTGCTCTGGCGGCTGGCCGACCCATTTTGCCGGCCGGCGCCCGAGTGTCTGTACGTGCAGACGGCCCGGGCCGGGCTACAGGTGGGTACCGCGTTGCCTCTGTGTGATAACAGCTTATGCTGATAACAGCGGATAATAGCTAGCAGCTGTAATGATGAGTGGATGATGTTGTGGCGCCAAGAGATGTTGGTGGGTGATGAAATTTTGACCGTTTCCTGGAGCGTCACGGCTGACCATCCAAGCTTCAATGATAGTCATACCTGTAATGGTGCATTGCGCATATTGTCTTTGGGAGCGACGTGAAACTAACATAAATAATACCACCATCGCCTTGATAAACAAAGACGTGGTGATGCTGATGAATCCTGAAGTACCCCGAGTGTCAAATATATAATTGGTACGAGTTTCCCAGTGGAGTTGTCAGTCAAGGAATACAGCAGGGCAGCCCGACGTTCCTCGACGCTGATTATCTGCGGTACGCCCCTGCGAGGCCTACGGCACATTCTGCCCATGCCAGTCAGTCATGAATCCCGCTCATTCCGCCTCTGGCACCAGCCTACGCAGTTCCCTTGTCCGTAGGTGGTCATCAGCGACGAGGTCATGCTGACGCCGACACCGTCCGCGCTGACGCAGCGGCAGCGGGACAAGCTGAGCCAGTACCGCCACCACCGGCGCGCCCAGTTCTACCGGCAGTTCGAGGTGAAGCGTGTGACGCGCGGCGGCCGCTCGCGCTGGTTCGGCTGCACGCGCGACACGGCGCGCTGCTTCGCCTCCCTGGCCGGCGACACGCCGGACTACCTGTATCGCGGCCGCTGGACACCGCCCTGCTGCCTGCGCCACCTACGCCGCACCGCGCGCCACGTGTTCGCCGCGCTGACCGCGTGCGGCGCGCGCTTCTGGCTGGAGGGCGGCAGCCTGCTGGGTGCGGTGCGCACCGGAGATGTGATCCCCTGGGACTCGGACGTGGACGTGGGCGTCTACCTGGAAGACGTGCCGTCATGCGCTCAACTCCACGCCGCCGCCAAGGCGCCCGTGCGCGACGAGCAGGGCTTCATCTGGGAGAAGGCGCCGGAGGGCCGCTTCTTCCGCGTGCAGTACAGCGCTGCCAACCGCGTACATGTTGACGTGTTCCCGTTCTACTCGCGGAACGGCACCATGACCAAGGACACGTGGTTCGCGTCGCACCGGCAGGACTGCGAGTTCCCCGAGCACTTCCTGCGGCCGCTGGAGACGATGCCGTTCGTGGGCGTGAACGTGACGGTGCCGAACCGGGCGCGCGAGTTCCTGGAGCTGAAGTTCGGCGCGGGCGTGGTGGAGCGGCCCCAGTACCCGGAGCCGGAGCGGCTGGCCTTCCCGGACGCCGAGTCTGCGGACGCGCAGGCGCTGGACGAGCGCCGGTGGGACGAGCTGTGATGGGCTGCGCTGTGGTGACTGGACGGGCTGTGTGACAAGGTGTGTTTGGACCAGTGGTGGCGCAACGGTACTGGATCAGATGCCTCACTGGAGCTGCTCTCGCTAAAGCGGCCGAACGTAGCCGCAGAGTCAGCTGCGAAAAAGGAGCAGCTCGTGCGCTGGCTGCTCCCTGTTGCTGGGTGGGCTGTCACTTGCGCTCCCGGAGGGCTTTCTGCGCGCCCCTGGCAGCCATCAGGATTAACGGGAGCACCCTTGCTGTGCGCTGACCAGCGGTAGCCCCCGCCGAGATGTCGTGGAGTGGTCTGTGCAACGACGCGGGGTGACGTGCGACTCACGCGCGGACTGGGCCTCATGTGATGACCGACCTGCAAGGGCTCGTGGACGCCATGTCTTAGGAGTAGCAGGGTATCCGTTTGTGTTACGTGCGACACGACTGCTGGTCAGCTCCGTCACTACACGAAATATTGTGCCCCACCCAGCTAAAAACGGTGGACTCGATCGGTATGCTTTTCGGAATGTTATTGCTTTGTGTTACTGCAAGCAACAATACCCCACCTGCCGCTCTCGCGCAACCCATGTTTTGGTGTTTTAACATTGGTGTCGTATTAGGGCGTGCACAGGAGTGCCCATTCCTGCCGGCTGAACCATTTGCAGTGGTTTGCTTGCAATCAGATGCCGTTCATTGCATGCCTTTGGGTTACCGCGTTAACATGATGAAAGCAAGAAAGGCTTTGAGCTCCTGGTTCACTCGTGTTCATGGGCGCAGCTTGAAACGTCGGGCATTGACAATATAAACAATATTTGCTTGATAAGGTCGTTTAACGATACCGCGTGGTGCACGGAAGGTCAACTGTCGGCATGAGAGCCCTCCCGTGTAAGTTCACCAGGTCGCGCTGGCGCGAGTTTTCAGGATTGGAGCAGTTTGGTGAAGCCAAGTGACAATCTTGCCTGCCACGTGCCATCACCGCCGCGCGCGAGGCCCTTTGGGATGAACGGTTGTAGGCATGCCGCTTGGATTTTGGTCAGGTTAGTTTACATTAGCTGTACACACGCCGTTAAAATGCTAGGCCTCTGACCTGAACAGTTCAAGACCTGTAACCTTTTTGTCAGATCCTGTTGGTCACACTCCGCTCAAAAGTTAAATGGCGTTTATTTTTCCCAGAAAATGCACCTCAAAGGGGCTTTCTACGCTGTGGTCTTACCTTAACACGCACTCGGGTGGGGGGCCAAATTGATCACCTAGAAGGTCTTTTCCAGAATGGTTTCCGAACGACGCGGCGTAGCCGCGCCAAATTTTACATGCTGTAGACAACTGAATAGCGGATCGTTTGACATCAGAAATTTAGATGTACCTTTTAAGGTCGCTGACCTATGGCAGGTCAAAGTCAGGCCATGATTTCAGCGAATGCAATTTCTAGGGAATCGTCCAATCTGATACAATAACGGAGAGCTTGGCGAAGCCATACATCTCTGAGATGCTTTCTTGGGCACCACAAATATTGAATGAGCAGATTACGTTGACTTAAGATCAGGTACGAAGGTCAGACCAAGGTCACAACCAACCTGATTTATTACTCTAGGGCTTACGTTATGGGATAATTTGTGGTGCTCAATTCGAATTTATTGACAGCAAGAACCGCATAAGACATCTCCCATTAACTTTTTAGAAGTCAGAAGAGGTCATTGACCTAAGATGATCCGGGTCGAAATTTTGTTTTAAAAACATACCGCCCAGCGTAATCTTTGTCGCTTGTTCAAATGCAAAACTCAAGGCCGTCTTGTATGATTTTGGTCACCATGACTCTCAAAAGGTCAAAAAAGGTCACTGACCTCAGATGGGCTTTTGACCTTTTGCTTAGAAACAGTTGCCTAGGCCCTTGGGGCTCTTTGGAGACCAACATGGAATTTGACCTTACTTGACCTTATTTGACCTGAAGGTCATGACCTAGGAAGCTCAAACTGTGATCTAAGTGAGTTCACCTACAGGTAAAGACTCCCTGTAAATTTGGTGTCTCTAGCTTTCTTAACTCCCGAGATCTCAGGGGTCAAATTGATCCCCCACCCGAGCGAATGGTATCTAGCCGGCCACCCGGGCGCGTGTTAAGCCTTTGAAGTCCATTTCTATCATTCTGGTTTTAGATTGCAAGGTCAGGTCATTCCAGTTCAAACCGGGTTAAACCTGATGTTTGAGGCCGCCTTGACAGTTTGAATGCCATGCGACTTAAACCTTACTGGCACATATCACACGGCGCTGAAAACCGTTTTAAGAATGTTTATTCCATTGGTGCGGCTTACTTCGTTCTTAGTTGGCCGGTCGGACGGACCACTGCAGCGATAACCCTCGTTTCTTTGACCAGGCACGACATGTCCCGGGTCACGCCTGTCGATGGGGGATCATTGCCCATTGAATGGTTTTCTCGGAATTATTTAACGCCATTTCCTGACTGTTGTGTCATGTGAAGTTACTGAGATAACCAGAGAAACTGTACTAACTACTCAAGCGTAGCTAAAGTGTTAACTACTCAAGTGTTGATTTGACCCTTATGGCACGACTTGTGTCAGTCGTCACAATCTGCACCGTTTAAGTCATGCCTATCCGATTCAGTTCGATTCAGCTTTCCAGTGTCATATTTCCCCTGGGTTTGGTTTGGTTCGTTTGCCACGCTGGCCTTGTAAGGCGACGGCGTAAAAACGTTGGTGCAGCGGGGCTAATTTTTACTGTTGTCTGGTTACCGGAGTCCCTGTAGTCAAGCTTTCCCCAGTGCTTGATGAGCGACGAGCGTTACCGAGCGACCTGTGCGGAGTTTTTCCCCATCAAGTCTTCAAATTTTGCCGACAGGGCATGACAATGACGTACATTGCGTCTGCTGCGCGTCCTCCTGTGCTTCCCATCCTACAACATCGACGCATTCAAGACACACCCACGCCTCCCGACAAATGAATGCTGAGTTACTGCAAAGTGTCGGGTACTGTAATGAAATGCGTGTGATGTGATCTTTGGCCTGTGATGAAGCCAGGTTCACAGCCCTTTACATCCGTCTGTCGCGGGAGTTCTGCTGCTCGGTCTCGAGTCGGAGACCTCACCAGCCGGCAGGGCAGGCTGGGTATGCAGATTTTGTCTCGCACCTCACCGCACCAGAGTGTGCAATATCCGCATTGTATGAATCAGTCATAGGCGGGAACTGATGCTTTGAGAATGTTATAATATCTGTGATGCGTCCCAGCAAGAGTCCCACCAGATACGACAGACGGCTCCTATTGCAGGAAGTGGCGCCCGGGCCCATGGGTCCGATCGGGACGGAAGCCTGCATCTCTAATGTGCCGTGCACTGTGGGGAGCCTGGGGCTAGGCGAGGCCGGCGACCTTGGCCCCGGGTCAGTGTGTGTAGGCTCGCACGGCGCGACGGGTCGGAAATCACTATGGAACGCCAGCGGGCCGCTGTCTGCTCTTGGGTAAGCGCGTCTTTGGGGGGCGTCTGCCTGACAGGACTGTCCGGCGTCAGGCGAGCTGTGAGCCAGCGGTCGACCCGGGCGAACTTTGCAAGGATAAGTGCTTACAATGTAATCCCGACTGCGGTGATTTTACGGTCTGCACACTCCGGCATACCATACCTGATTTTCCTAAAGTGTCGCGTAATAACTACGGCAGAATCAAAGGTGGAACGTTTTGTCTATTTGGGGGAGGGGGGCTTGTTAGAAACCCCACTCCGCGACACCTCCACCCCCACCCCACCTTAATGTTGGGCAGGGCCCCTACGACATTAGGCTGGGCCCCGCAATATTGGGCTGGGTCTCCACCACACTGAACCAGGTCCCAATACTTTACTAGTTCATTGAAATAAACATAACTTGGCAGTTGTTCTTAAAATCTGACACCACGGAAATATATTTCCAATCCATGTTTGTACTTTTAACGTGTCCCTGAGACATGACATATCTAATTATGGAACTATTCGGTGCGAAAGGCTCCAATGCTATTGGCTGTGCTGGTGAAATCAGGCGCCAACATCGCATTTCAGGTAACAGTGAGCGAATGCGGAATTCGAGCGCGCCGCCGCATCAGCCTCGTGAGACGCAGGTCACTGGTCGAGCCATATAGGGCCCATAGCTGAAGAGCAACGAAAAAACGCTCCAGATTTTTTAGGTGTACTATTAGATTGCACAATGTTCCAAGATTCCAAGATTGTTCCATGGGAGGGGCCGCGCTTCACTACCTTGCCCCTGGAACTAACTTGTTGTCCCCCCCCCCCCCCTCTCACAAAATATCCCGGCTTTCGGCCTTTCATTTTCAGATCCTTCTTTTTCTTCGCAAGCTATCGTCCTTTTCGCATCGTGAAAGGCTAGTTATAGGTGGTTGTGTATGGACACCGTGCACATTTGTCTTTTTCAGAGACCGATCAACTAACGTGCGTCAACAACGAAATCAGCAGGAAGTTGCATGTTTAGATAATTAACATCATAGTGAATGCTTGCGTGTCATTGGTGCTTTACGACACCGCAACTGTACGACTCCCGCCTCTCACCCTGGTAGATGGGGCGGGGACCCAACTGAGTGGAGCGTCATGGTGAATAGGTAAACGCAAAGGCAATAACTTGTACACGATGTCTAAGCCGCGATGTCACTCAAGTGACATGTGACGCAAAGATTGAAATGGTGGTGGTAGAAAGCAGCGAGGGTATTGAAATTCGCATGCTTTTGAAGCGATCTACTTTATTGTAATGAAACATATGGCCAGCTCCTTGGAAAAGTAAAATGCGTTGTGTTGTCAGCTTGGAAACAATCCGAATTTCAGCTGCATGGTATCGCAAAGGAGTGCGAAAATTGCTAAATTCTAACTTAAGTATGTGACCCGCGTGATGCATAAGTAATATGAGTTCCACAGGTTAAAAAACAGATGGCTTTAAGGTATACTACATATCCGAAATGCGCAATTATATTGCATCTGAAGGAAAGAATTCATCGGAAAACGCGGCTGCTGTTTTTGCGATGAACCTGCCAAAAAACGAAGCATGACGCATGTAGTCGCGCACCCTTTTACGAGGCGCCAGCGACTGCAGAAGGCATCTTAGCGCTCAGGGACCATGACGCAGCCTGGCTTCGTACACTGGCCCCTCACGTGGGAGCCAAATGCCCAAACCACTCGGCCGTCATGCCCCCAATAAGAGAAGATCGTTATCGTGTAGATCTGGAGCGTTTGCACCCGCATTTGTTTGGTCGCGCCAGTACCCAACCACGTATGTTATGGGACGCGCGCAGTTTTGCTATGGCGAAGGCTAGCTTGTGTTGTCAATGTCTCCAAAGATGTCGATTATGCGCAATATTTCGGACATCTAAAAACGTGATCTGATGACATGTCACAAACTAGGTATGTGTATGGGTTTCTTTTTCAAATTAAAGTTCAGCGGCTGTTAAAAGTGTGAAAAGTGATTATCACTTTGACAAACAACAGTAGTCCTTTCTTAACGCCAAGACGGAACGACTCAGTTGTGCGTGATCTTCCCTATCCACAAAGCGGCTACACGAGTTTGTTATCGCCTGAAAAATACGAACATATTCGACTGCTGGTGTTGTTGCCTTACACATTTATCATCCTCATTGCTGAAGAGGGATCTTGCATAAGTTGTTAAATGCATTTGCGAGGAAGAGAAGAAGAGAAGAAGAAGGAGTGGAGGAAGAAGAAGAAGAAGAGGAAGAAGAGGAAGAGAAGAATAGAGAAGACAGTGGTAATACCCTTATTCCTCGTAGAAAAGCCAGGAGAATGGACAGAGAGATGCGTTGCTATTTCGGCAACATCCTTTCATCATAACGAATATCAGTAGTAGATTCAAAATCGTTTGCCGATCCTGCTCAGGGTTTTAGGCAAGGAACGATTGCTAGTCATTGCTACGATATCCATTTATAAAAGCATATTCTTACAAAAATTAGGCTCATCAAACCGGACTCATCATGGTCGATTATGCTAACATGATACAAGCCTTGATGCGTGGTGCGTGCTAGTTTAAGATCATTCACATGTTTGAATGGTTCCTGACGAGTGATGCGCGATGCCTGTTGAATTGAAATTTAAATTGGAATAATAATAATTTATTATTAATAATGAATATAATAATAATATGTTATAATATAAATATAATACGTAAAAATAATATATAATATAATAATTAATACATATAATACAACTAAAATATCGAGCAGCATCGGCGGGAAAATTTTAATTTGATGCTGATATTCGTTTCGATACATGCATAATACCAAGATATCAACGCCGACCAAGCTGACCAGGAATTTCGTCAGAGTGTACGGAAATTCATTTTGAAGACAAGGGCCATGGTTCCCCGAAATCAAGATTTTTGTGCTCGCACACGGGCCCCCGAAACCGATCGAGGATTTCGTTCGAGGTGGGAGGCACAACAAGCGCTGCGCCATGGGATTTGGTGTCTCATGAGAATACAGATTGGGGCCCTTTGTGGTGCCCTCTGGAATTAGGTGCCTGATAAAGAGCACGTAGTAAAGATATCTTGTGGGACTACCGCCAGTTAACTTAACTGGTTTCTAGCGCTAGTTTTTGGCATTTGTTCTAGAATTTGGCGTTACCGGCGATATACTCTGCGAACATTGACCTCAGCAGCCATCCGTAAGCTGACCAGACTTACCTGGCGCTGCCGCTCTGCCCACGGCTGAATACTTACAAGAGAATCGACCAGCGGGATTGGCGGGAAATCTCTCTAGGTTCAAATGCTGTCAGGAACCGATGGTTTACAGGGAATGTTCCACATATGTATGGGCTTTCGAGCTGAAGTAGACATCTTGAAGGTCATTCGGTGCAGTTCACAGTTCTACCCTTCCTAAGACCCCTCTAGTTCCTGAACTACACGCCCGCGAAGATGTGCAGGCTATTTCGCGCAAACTATTTCAAGGTCACCAGGGCATCGATGACGCTATCTTAGTTGTTTTAATCCTGCCATTATGTTGGACATGCGGTGATCAAGGCTAACAAAAATATGATTGTCGAATCGTTCATGTCTGGCGCTCGTGAGCACGATGTCCAGATATAACGGCCGTCAATTGGTCTCAGTTAACGTTGTGCGGGATATTTAGAAGCAATCAACGACGTATTTAGGAGCATATTTACATGAGGATATTTGGAATGGCAGAAAAATTGTGTTGTCTAGGGCAGTCTTTTCACTTAATGGTGCGCCAATAGTTATAACTTAGGTTATTTCATCATATATGATGCTTGCTTCGACACCTTCAAATGGGGTACATTTTCTTTAAGCCTTTCCTTCGATACGCCGCTCCCAGGCGTTACACTGAATTCTGTAAATGTGTGCCCTCCTTCCCCCTCCCCCCTGTGACAGACCTCATGAACGTGTAGCGCACCTCTGCCGGGTCCGCTGAGGGTCCTTGTGAGGGTCCTTGTGACTTTCTCGCGGCTCTGACTCTGGCTCTGCTCTGACTCCGATCTTATCATTGACTGCGCTCTGACCATGACTTTGCTCTGGCTTGGCCCTGAATCTGACCCGTTTCTGACTCTGCCTCGGCTGTGGCTTTGGCTCGAATCTGATTCGGTTCTGAGCCTGAATTGGCTCTGACTCTGACTCGGCTCTGGTTCTGGCTCCGACTGGGTTTTGACTCTGACTCGGCTCTGGCTCCGACTGGGTTTTGACTCTGACTCGGCTCTGACCCTGACATGGCCATTCGCAGGCGCTGGCCGCGCTCTGCGTGATTGTCTCTGGCCAGGCAGTAGCACCAAGTCTGGACGAGCCGCGGGCGGACGGCGCCGCCGCCGCGCTCTTCAGCGCAGGTGAGGCGGTCGAGGAGCGGCGGAGGAGCCCTCTGTGACGCGGACAGCCGACACAGCCGGCACCGTCTCACCAGCGGTACACCCGCAGGCGGTCCGGCGGCGCCGGCCCGGTGTCGGCGAGTTTCGATCAGATACCACCAGGGGAAAGTATCGCGCTCCGGTGTCGGGAGGGCATGAGGATGAGGGAGGGGGTCGTTAAAGAGGGCGCTCAAGGAAAGCCTTCTTTCCGTGTTGGGGCTGCATGCCCATTGTATGTATGTTCAAGTTTTTTAAGGCACCCCGGAAGATTATTTGTACAGTCCATTTGTCGACGAACGTGAGTATATGTTTTGCGATGCGTACGGAGATAGCTGCCGCAGCTATACGGGCGCTCGGAGCACGGGCTACTTATTTCAGTGTCAGCAGTGCCAGTAACCGCCACCGTCAATGTGATGAGTCTTTACAAAGTGTGTGTACAGCACTAGATACTTTATCGCACGTGGAAAAGTTGTTCATACAGCCACGTGCTCCCTCTGTTGAACATGTGGTGAACAAGCGTAGAATGTACTGTGCGCGGCGTGTCAATATTTCTGAACAGATCAGGCATTTGTACGGGTAACCCAGTGTTGCCCTCCCTCATCCCAGCTGTCAGGTCCGTCGTTGAAAACGAGCGGAGTGTCCCAAATTCGAGAGCGGCCGTGCAGCCCGGTTCATAGCTCCGCTCGTCCACGGTTGGCCTCTGCCTTGCGAGTGACTGAATAACCCGCAGTTTGAAGGATCTGGTGACACCTGCAGTCGCTGTGTGCACTTGCGTACGTGTCAAGAGTAGGGCTTGGGTTTTTTAACTGAACACCACACGCATGGAGGGGAGTAGGACTGCACCGTTCACATAGCCGAGGGGAATAGGACTGCACCGTTCACATAGCCTAGGGGATTAGGACTGCACCGTTCACACAGCCAAGGGGCGTAGGACTGCACCGTTCACATAGCCGAGGGGATTAGGACTGCACCGTTCACATAGCCGAGGGGAGTAGGACTGCACCGTTCACATAGCCGAGGGGAGTAGGGCTGCACCGTTCACACAGCCGAGGGGAGTAGGACTGCACCGTTCACATAGCCGAGGGGAGTAGGACTGTACCGTTCACACAGTCGAGGGGACTAGGACTGCACCGTTCACATAGCCGAGGGAAGTAGGACTGCACAGTTCACATAGCCGAGGGGAGTGGGACTGCACCGTTCACACAGCCGAGGGGAGTCGGACTGCACCGTCCACAAAGCCGAGGGGATTAGGACTGCACCGTTCACACAGCCGAGGGGATTAGGACTGCACCGTTCACAAAGCCGAGCGCCGGACGTCCGGAGTCCCCGACCTGGTCCCTGTTCCGTCCGTGGATGACAAGCGTGTGGTCGTGCACTGATGGTGCTGGACCTCGTCCTACCCCGAACACGTAGTATTCGCGAACCAAACGCTGTAGTTGTTGGTGCCGGCTTTAGCATTCAGGATTTGGTACTAGGCCTGTCAGCTGCCTCATTCGACACCGATTATCTTCTGTTATCGTCCGCTTGCATCTGGACAAAACTGCTGCCACCAAGCGTTGCATCATCCATTGACTGCTGCCTTCTGGTGCTTCCCAGTATTTATACATTCTTACCGCGATCTCTTTGCCCTCAAAACCCTCTGCGTAATCGACGTGTGCCATGTTCTCCTCCACAATGTCCCCGGGCACTTGATACGGGTGGCGGGTCGAGCAACAAACCCAGCTGCTCACCGATGCCGGGCCCACTGAAATCGCTGCCGTACGTCAGACCCGCACCGACCAACCGCGGTCAACCTGGCGGCCTCCGTACATGCCGCAAAAGCCTGCCCTGCGCTCCGCCGTGACCCCGGCCGGGTGACTGGCGGGCCGCCGGTCAGCTGATAGCGGGGGGCCGGCCACACCAGCTGCAGAGCCCTGGTCTCGTTCCAGGGTTCCCGACCACCATCACCCAGTTCCAGTGTCCGCCCGGCTGGTGGCTGATCGTACGCAAGTGCGAAGGTCGGTGCACGCGCCGCGCCCCACGCGCCGTCTGTGGGCGCTCGGTGGGAGGACGAGAGCGATTCTTGTCTCTTGAGCCACTATCAACGTTATGTTGCGAGCATCCCCTCTCTGTGGGATTCTCCCTTTTCAGCCTCTCTCGGTGTTACTCTGTGGCCTGTAGTCTCTCTCTTGTGATCTTGTGGGGAGTCTCTCCTGTTTCCAGGAAAGCCTATTATTATTATTCTGTTGGCCGCTCTGTGTGTTCGGCCGCGAGCCTCTCACTACCGCCATATGAGCCGCTCTCAGTATTCTACCGTGAGTCTCTCTCTCGGTATTCTACCGCGAGCCTCTCTCACTTCCGCCCTGTGAGCCACTCTCAGCATTTTACCGTGAGTCTCTCTCGGTTTTCTACCGCGAGCCTCTCACTATTGCCCTTTGAACCGCTCTCGGTATTCTACCGTGAGTCTCTCTCTCGGTATTCTACCGCGAGCCTCTCTCACTTCCGCCCTGTGAGCCACTCTCAGCATTTTACCGTGAGTCTCTCTCGGTTTTCTACCGCGAGCCTCTCACTATTGCCCTTTGAACCGCTCTCAGTATTCTACCGTGAGTCTCCCTCGGTATTCTACCGCGAGCCTCTCTCACCACCGCCCTGTGAGACGCTCCCAGTGTTCTACCATGAGTCTCTCTCGGTATTCTACCGCGAGCCTCTCTCACTGCCGCCCTGTGAGACGCTCTCAGTGTTCTACCGTGAGTCTCTCTCGGTATTCTACCGCGAGCCTCTCACTATTGCCCTTTGAATCGCTCTCAGTATTCTACCGTGAGTCTCTCTCGGTATTCTACCGCGAGCCTCTCTCGCTGCCGCCCTGTGAGACGTTCTCAGTATTCTACCGTGAGTCTCTCTCGGTATTCTACCGCGAACCTCTCTCACTACCGCCCTGTGAGACGCTTCCAGTGTTCTACCGTGAGTCTCTCTCGGCATTCTACCGCGAGCCTCTCTCGCTGCCGCCCTGTGAGCCGCTCTCAGTATTCTACCGTGAGTCTCTCTCGGTATTCTACCGCGAGCCTCTCTCACTGCCGCCCTGTGAGACGTTCTCAGTATTCTACCATGAGTCTCTCTCGGTATTCTACCGCGAGCCTCTCTCACTGCCGCCCTGTGAGACGTTCTCAGTATTCTACCATGAGTCTCTCTCGGTATTCTACCGCGAGCCTCTCTCGCTGCCGCCCTGTGAGCCGCTCTCAGTATTCTACCGTGAGTCTCTCTCGGTATTCTACCGCGAGCCTCTCTCACTGCCGCCCTGTGAGACGTTCTCAGTATTCTACCATGAGTCTCTCTCGGTATTCTACCGCGAGCCTCTCTCGCTGCCGCCCTGTGAGCCGCTCTCAGTATTCTACCGCGAGCCTCTCTCACTGCCGCCCTGTGAGACGTTCTCAGTATTCTACCGTGAGTCTCTCTCGGTACTCTACCGCGAGCCTCCCTCACTGCCGCCCTGTGAGACGCTCTCAGTACTCTACCGTGAGTCTCTTTCGGTATTCTACCGCGAGCCTCTCTCACTGCCGCCCTGTGAGCCGCTCTCAGTATTCTACCATGAGTCTCTCTCGGTACTCTACCGCGAGCCTCCCTCACTGCCGCCCTGTGAGCCGCTCCCAGTGTTCTACCATGAGTCTCTCTCGGTATTCTACCGCGAGCCTCTCTCCCTGCCGCCCTGTGAGCCGCTCTCAGTATTCTACCGTGAGTCTCTCTCGGTACTCTACCGCGAGCCTCCCTCACTACCGCCCTGTGAGACGCTCCCGGCTCTGACGCGCTGCTCGCGCTGACAGACATCAACGAATGCAGCGGGCAGCAGCAGCCGTGCCCGGGCCTACACACGGTCTGCCGCAACACGCCCGGCAGCTACCGGTGCCAGTGCCGCCGCGGTCACATCGGCGACCCCTACTCGTTCGCCGGCTGCCTGCCAGGTCAGCACTTCAGCGTCCAGCCGTGCCCACAGCGGCTGCGATGCATGCGAGATGTGATTTCCGCTCTCCGAAGGCAGAGGGACGTCTTCAGAGGCTGTCTGGCTGAGGCTGGTTTGGGGCGTGGCTGACGACTAACACGGCACCTGAAAAGGGCATTTGGGGTACTAAATGCTTAAAATACTCAAAGCATCGTTATTAAATGTGAGTTTAAAGATAGTCCTCACTGCATGCATCGCTAACTCACTTTACGTACGGCCTACATCACTATTATGCCCACGTCGGGTCAATTTTACAGCGTTTATTTGGAAAGGCATGGCTATTTCGATGCCTTACGGTGCGATTAGACTTTTGCGGTGATGGCACGGTAGAATTTATCTCGTGTGTCAAAGCATTGCCACACTGGATGACGAATGATTGTGATTTTGGCAGCGCATTTCTGTTTAATTGATATTACACATTCACGTACTTTGCATTGCATCAATGTACTTGAAACTATACGGAGCAAATTATGGCGGTGTGCAGGCAAAGTTAGTGCAAATCTTGTTCAACGAAATTTTGTTTTTTACATTGATGGGCACTGGGTTCGATGGAAGAATTCTGTGAAAGTTGCTGCCTCAAGTGGAAGACTTACTTGAAGATACAGCCAAGAAAATCAGCTTTGCTAACTGGACAAAACGTTTAAAATGGATATGCCAATGTAGAATTTTAGGGAACTGTTCCACATTTGTATGGGGTTTTGCGCTGAAATAGGCATTTTGAAGATCACTCGATACAGTTCACACCCCTGCCCTTCTTAAGACCTAAACCTCTCCGGCTGTTGAGCTGCCCACCCATAAAGATGAGGAGACTGGTACGTGCGGACTATTTCAAGGCTAACCAGGCATCCATGACGTCATCATAACGTCATTCAATTCCTGCCATTCCACTAGACATGCGGCGTTTAAGACCGATCAAAACTTAATGGTAGAGTCGTTCATACTGGCCTTCAGGAGCGCGATTTTTCATGTAGAAGGCCGTCAGCTAGCTCTCAACCAATGTTGCGCAAGGTACGATAACGCAACCACACGGTAACGCATTCAAGAGCATATTTACTAAATATAGAAACTTTGTGGGCTAGATCAGTCTCTGCCAGCTACAAGTATATTTATGGTTAAAAGTGAGCTTATTTCATCACATCTGACGGCTGCTTTCATATCTCCAGATGTGGCATGAACGCAGCTCTGCCCGACGTGTGCCGTTTTCAATTTAATGACACTTGTTCTTGTTGGCATCAAATCCCTGCGTAATTAGTTTTCCGACTGTTGAAAGCACCATGTTTTTTGTAGACATGATCTACTTGATTTGTAAACACAACGAATGTGAAATGCATGACAATGCTTTGATCGTCCCTTTACTCCCATGCTGAAATGTGACATATTTCTGCTTTGTCTCCGATGCACGCATTTAACCACCTCTCTTCAAGTGGAAAATCTAAAAGCGGTAAAGCGACATGATCCCATCTCATTCTCCATTCGGTTCGTGATCCATACCAGGGATGGGTTGACCCATGCATCTTTACGCAAATCTATGCGTTTTTCCTCGTCATTTTAAGATGCATGCAAATTCAGAAATCATTCGGAGAGGATTTACAATGGCGGATATGGTTTCCGGAGACCTCAGCACGTGATGAGCACTAAGTTGTAACAAAAGGCTACCTGAGTAAACCGAATACGTAACACATGTTTTATATTATTTTAATTATTCATTGTTGTGATTATAGCAATATAATGACTGCATCATCACCGAGGTAATGCCCGGCTATATAATCCTTGCTGGCAAATAATCTGTAATTGTACGCTGACCGCATGCGGTTTATGCCCCCCCCCCCCAAAAAAAAATATGACTTCCTTGCTTGCTTTCTTTGTTGACAGTTTTCGACTTGCCAACACATTTTACTGTAACTGTGGCACGCAGCGAATCAACCCGCCGCGGGCCACACGCTGTTTTCAATGTGCGACTACAGTTTTTGCTTGTTACGCCTGGCCCGAGTACTTGTTCTCAACATGCGCATCAGAACGCTCCAAACGGGGTGGCCTCTTAAAAACACCGACCTCGTCTAAAGTCACTGTGTTTAGAAAGGTATTCATAACATTATGAATTACACAACGTCATGTGCGAGCATGTAACTTCAAAAAAACATACAGGAACTTCATCTTAATTGAGTCAGACACGGTGCTTATTGTTTGTATGCAAGCTGGGCTTTGGGAATCACGTGGTTGCCGTAAGGCGTTGGTGAGAAATCGTCAGGTGAGCATGATAATGTTGCGGAAAAATGAGGTGCCTGCTAAGAGTAAAAGAGACGAGAAGAATATCAAGAAAATTTCAAAACGATGTACATTAAATGGAAAATGTCCTACGAGTAGCATAACCATTTCGCCTCTTTGATTGTCTCTGATTTTGGATACGACAGTTACTGATATGCACATCTCAATTTTAGTGACCATATGGGCAGTGCAGAATTCCCCGTCGAACTTCTCCACTCCCCACACCATTTTCTTCGCCAACAACAGAGCAGAAGCCCTGGAATGTGAGTGGACCAGGGCAGGTCCAGCCAACTGAGTCGGTAGGATGACACGCTATTCCGGTATCTGCTCTGAGATAGAGATGCGATGTGTTGCTAGTCGGCTCTCATGCGATGTGTTGCTAGTCGGCGACGTGTCCGGCTGTTGCCACCCGGCTCTCATCTGTGACGTGTCCCGAGCTAAACTGCGAATGCCAAAGTCCGAAATGTTCCGTTTACAGATACTGGAATATGTGCGGAGCCGACCACTCCCACACGTCGGGTGGACACGACGACAAAACCAACAACCACCGATGATCCGGCTGGAAATCCTACAACGGAACCTACTTTAACGGAATCCACCACAACGGGACCTACCTTAACGGAACCCCCCACAACGACACCCACCGTAACGGGACCCCAAACAGCGGAACCCACCACAACGGAGCCCACCACAACGCAACCCACCACGACGGAGCCGACCACGACGCAACCAACCACGACGGAGCCGACCACGACGCAACCAACTACGACGGAACCGACCACGACGGAGCCGACCACGACGGAACCCACTACGACGGAGCCCACTACGACGGAACCGACCACGACGGAACCGACCACGACGGAACCCACCACGACAGAACCAATCACGACCGGATCTACAACGGCCCCCACCACGCCTATGAACGACCCGACCACAATACCTACCACTGATCGCACATTGATAATCGTCACGTCTGAAGCTACCACCCAGGGAACAACCACCGAATCTACTAAACCCACTAAACCCACTGGAGCCGCAGGTGATGTCACCACGGGTGACACTGACCTTCCATTCCCTAGCAGTTTTATCACCACAGTGAAAGTTCAAACAACCACCAGGCCAGGTGGGTGGTGACCATGTTCTTCGCAGGCAATCTGTGTGGGCTTTGATTAGAGTTGCTAACTTTGTGGATGTCCAGGTGTTTGACACAAATAATATGAACATAAACAGGAATCTGAAAATTGGCATATGGGTATGCTATGCAAAATAGGTGCCGTCAGTAGATGATATCATGGTTGACTTGCCATACAGCAATTGTGTGCGTCGCACAAGCGGATGTCTTATGCTCTATTGCCGGTGTGACGGCTGTTTTAGCAATGTGTGTTACCACGGGTTTCTGGGAGCCGCTTACCACGCGCACCAACATTTGAGCTCACAGGCGACATCACCCCTGTAAATGTGTATGGTCAGATGCTGGCGGGATGTGGCCGCTAGCTCCCCGCCGCCCTCCGTCCTGTTGGTCCGGCTGGGCCAGCGGCGGTGTCTGCTGCCCGCCCGGTGCCACCCGACCGTCAGCGCCTCCCTGCCGGCAGCCATCCCGCCGGGCTACTCGCGCTGCCTGTCGGCGGGCATCAACACCGGCTCCTTCCTCCGGCTGGTGACGCAGCCGACGCTGCCGTGGGCCGAGGCGGCGGTTGTCTGCCGCGCCCACCACCCCGACTCCCGGCTCGTCAAGATCACCGACGCCTCCCTCAACCGGTGCATGCAGACGGTAGGCGGCTAGCGCGCAGCGCCGTCGCCGCGGCCACGGCGCTACCGGCGCGGGCGGTCGCTGAGATGTTGAGTCGGTGGGGTGCACCGACAGGCACCCACCATAGGGACGCCGTTGGAACGCCCGAAGCTGTACCCACGCAGCACACATACTAGCGCAGGGAGCGTGCGCTGAGCCATATGTTGCGCAGATTATATTTTGTTTTGCGTCGTGTTTAATGTCATGTAACATTTTGTTTCAGATTCACATTAGCTGTGTTTCTCTGATTTAAAGGGATGTCTAAACGGTGGCTATTGCAGTGCCGAGATATGCCCATCTCTCCAGTTTAGAGAAACCGGCACGATTTATGCAGAAGTGTGCGCAGAAAGCAGCCGCGCGCCTGGGAAACCAGGGGTACGGGGTTCGGCCCCCGTGGCGCCCGTCCCTCCTGCCAGTGAGAGGCAGGTGACGCCGCATAGCCTCAGCAGCTAAGTGCATTGTTAAGCCCCAATGACGCCTAAAATACCTACGCAGAACGCATGGCCTGCGTGCCCTTGGAGCACTGGAGCATAACTATGGCAGCTTTAGTGTAACTGTAGCCGCTCGTATGGCTCTGACTTGCTGTGATCTGGCTTGCAGTGGCTGCAGTTCCAGAGGAACACCTACCACGCGTGGATCGGCCTGAGGCTAGTCGGAGGAGAGTTTCGCTGGCCGGATGGTAAGCTCCCGGGCGGATCCTCGGAGAGATCCTCGTACAGATCCCGGCAGATCCTCGGCAGACCCCCGGCAGAACCTCGTACAGATCCCGGCAGATCCTCGGGACAGATCCTCGAGACAGATCCCCTGCAGATCCTCGGGACAGATCCCTTGCAGACCCTCGGGACAGATCCTCGGGACAGATCCTCGGGACAGATCCTCGGGACAGATCCTCGGGACAGATCCTCGCACAGATCCTGGCAGATCCTCGGCAGACTCCCGGCAGAACCTCGGACAGATCCCCGGCCGATCCTCGGGACAGATCCTCAGCTGGAAAGAAGAGAGCAGAGAAAGACTGTGGCTTTACTAGCCCAGACATCATCTCACTCGTTCCACGTCTTGAGGCCTGGCAAAACGGAAACGCCGCGGGACCTCCGGTGCTGTCAGATCTGTACAGTGCATTCCTCGCCTGTCTCTTGCCGAGTTCTCTTCTGCCTCTATCTCCGCCGTGTCAGTCAGCGTGTCAGTGTCAGTGAGCAGGACCCTCCCCGCCGATGCGACGTCACCCCGCCGGTCTGTTGACACAGGCACGACCGCGGCCGGCTTGTTCGAGGCATGGGGCCGCAACCAGCCGCTCCAGCAGGCCACGCAGCAGTGCGTGCGCATCTACAGCTTCAACGGCTTCTGGGAGACCGCCGACTGCGACAGCGAGCTGGCCTTCTTCTGCGAAATCCCCGCCTGAGACGGTGGCGGTGGCGGAGGCGACGGTCCGCTGACTGCCAGTTACGACAGCGACGGTCCGCCGACTGCCAGTTACGACAGCGACGGTCCACCGGCTGCCAGTTACGACAGCGACGGTCCGCCGACTGCCAGTTACGACAGCGATGGTCCGCCGACTGCCAGTTACGACAGCGACGGTCTACCGGCTGCCAGTTACGACAGCGACGGTCCACCGGCCGCCAGTTACGACAGCGACGGTCCGCTGACTGCCAGTTACGACGGCGTGGTGGCGCCGGGGGGCCAGGCCTGGCGTCAGCGGCTGGGGAGACCGGCCGCGATCCCACGCCGACCGGCGCCACCGACCACCCGCGCTTGAAGAGCACCACGCTGCCCGGATCTCTGCTTGGCCGCCCCGCCGGGGGCTTCGCTTCTGCGCCGCTTCGGCACGTGTCGGGACTCGCTGGTGTAAGCCGCTGTGCCGCCTGCCGTACGCGTCCGGTTGATACACGTTCTTGTCGCTCCGCGGCGCCGATTTTACCGCGTTGCGAGATGCGTTGCCGCAGGCGCGACGACCCCCAGTATCGTCACGAGACTCACGCTCTGCGTGTGTGTATGAGTGTCGGTGGGTCGCGTCGGAGTGACGTGGTTGAGTGACGCAATACACGGTTGAGCTGAGTGAGGAATAGAGCGGGTGGGCGGGTCCGTGCTGCGCCATGTCGGCGAAGTGCGGCGTAACAAGTGCCACGGCAGGCCTTTGGGAGCGTGCAGATGCTTCCAAGGGTCTAAAAAGGAGTCGTTAGCATCGCTGACTGGCGTACCACAACTGTCCTGTCCGTTGTAAATCGCTCCTTTTGCTCCGTTTCTTGAGGTTGCAGACATACGTGCGAGGCAGGGTCTGTGCATCACTGGAACGTGGCACCGTACCGACGCGCTGCCCCGTCTGCCCCAGACACGAACTCTGTCACCGGAGCTGACAGTCATCTAAAGCCAACTCACAATTCCTGGTATAAAAGACGATCGTAACTCGTCACGCAGGAAACGCGAATGGCACGCCCGCAGCGCCGATAGCTGTATTCACCGCACGGTGAGCCGGGGGTAGCGGCGGACTCGGACCCGAGATGCGGCCCCGGGGCCAATGCGCCGACACACGTCCGCCAGACACTGACTGGCCTGTGAACCGGCTGCGAATTACAACTGTCCGCTGCTCGGCGTGCCAGGAAGTCAGCAGATGAAGGAAGACGACGACGCAATTAGCAGAATCGCGGCCGGGCTAACCTTGCGACCGGCGCGTGTCTTTAATCACCCCCGGACAGAACCTTCGAACTCATACATGAACAGACAGGCTTGATTCTCGGCGCCGGGCATTCGTCATGCGGGAAGCAGCGGCTGAGGGGAAGTTTGCTGACGCCAGCTATCCCGTTGCTGCGCACTCCCCTCCCGTCCTCAGCTGACGCCGCCGAGAGTTTCACCGTGCCCAAGTTCAACGAGCCAGATAGCACGATTGGGCGTCTGGTTCCGCGCAGGGGCGGCGGCAGCTGCTAGCAGGAGTGTGCATGAGCGTCCAACACCTCATCGGAGGCAATTCTTCGCCGAACCGGAGCCGGACGGCGCTGCGCGGGGGCCTCATGATGCGGCCGAGGACGGTAACCGCGCGTCAGTCCAGTCATTGTATATATGACGGGTGAACTACCGGGCCAGGGACCTGTCTTGCGACGGTCAGCACGTTCCTCTTCCAAGTCAACCCCATAGTTCCGCTACCCCATTCTGAGCACCGCTTGTCGCAGCAGCACCCGCTCTCCTACGCAAAGGTTAATCGTTAGCGCTTGGTCCACGCTGCCCCACGGGCTGAACGTCGCCAGCGTGGCGCCCGCCGATCCGGACCTGGACGCGCGCCTGCTCGCCGTCCAGCTGAGCAGGGGAGGGGGAGGCAGTCTGTGGACAAGTGTGGCTGTCGGGCGGGTGAGGACAGTCTCGGATCAGGCGTGCGTGCCCCCGACGGCCCAGCAGGCAACGCGCATGCCGACGCGCGCAGAGAAGGTGCGTGACCTCCGCCACCGGCAGGCGGACCGGAGGTGATTTCCCTCAGACAGCGGACCCAGACGCGATAGGAGGGCAGACCAGACAGTCTTCATCTCTAGGTCAGACCCGTTTCGTGGATGTCAGACAGGTGATGCAGCCAGTGCCCACTCTCACGTAACGGAGGGTGAAGAGGCACATGTCGCTCCCTCAGCAATGTGAGTTCAAGTCACTGCTGGTCACGGAAGAGCAAAGATAATCTTATTCTAAAAATAAGCTAATTCTGTTTGCTGTCGATTGAACGTGGTGATCTAGGGCGTGCCGTTCTGTCGAGCAGCCTTCCGTTTAAATCACGCCACGCGTTCATTATGCGGCAGTCCCAGCTGTCTCAATGACGTCCCACGACCCGTGGGAGGCATCTCTATTGACCCCGCACGTACGCTTCCAATGTTTCAGTAACGCCATTTGGTTTGTGACAGGCAACCTCACACAAACTCTGCCTCTGTCCCAGTGACGTCACCTTGCAATAACAGCTACCTGCTGCCCTCAAGCGAACCTCTGTAACTGTTCCAGTGACGTCACCTTGCAGCCAGTCTCACAGCTGCAGAAGCCCTCAGCGACCTCTGCAGCTCTCTCTGTGACGTCACCTTGCAGTAACAGCCTCATCTGCTGACCCCCCAACGACCTCTGCCGCCGTCCCAGTGACGTTACCTAACCGTCACAGTCTCACCTGCTGACGTCAAGCGACCTCTGCCGCTGACTCAGTGACGTCACCTTACAATCACGGTCTCACCTGCTGCCGTCAAGCGACCTCTGCCGCTGTCCCAGTGACGTCATCTTGCAGTCAGTCTCGCCTAGTGATCTCCAGTGACATCTGCACTTGTCCCAGTGACGTCACCTCGCGGTCAGTCTCACCTGCTGACCTCCAACGACATCTTGTTTACATGGGCAACTATGATTCGAATTAAGCGGAGGCCCGTCCTCGATCCGAACTATCGGGCCCATGCACACGCTCACACGCCGCTCCGCTAATTGGCCAAACATGGATCTTTGTGCCATTTATTGGACAACCTGCGGTTATCAGGAATTTTGTTGCACCAACGAGGGCTCTCGCGTCCGGGTCAAATGCCCCGGCCAGAAGTCGCCAGAGGGCCTTCCGCGCCAGGGAGGGCACCAATGTAGGACGTACATCTGTGAGAGCCTCAGGAAGAACCCATCCGGGGAACCCGCTTCCATGTCGCCAGAATGGCAGCTGGTAGACACCCCGAACTGGGACGGAATGCTCTGTAGGGAATTGCCTGAAAGGATAGTGTGCATCTAACTTTTCACTAATTGATTTTGGCTTCCGGTTGAACATTTCCAGATGAAATAGGACTGCCTGTGTTTATACAAGTTGCTGACCTCCCTTAGATTTACGGTCAATGTTCACGGGATTCCCAATATCTCTGTAGTGTGTGGACACCCTCCCTTTGATAATACAAACTACGCTTCTGTCCGGTGTGGAGAGCCTAAGCCTCACCTGCTGACCTCCAGCGACCTCTTCCGTTGTCCCAGTGACGTCACCTTACAGACACTGTCTCACCTGCTGACCTCCAGCGACCTCTGCAGCTGTCCCCGTGACGTCACCTCCCGCCGGCTGACCTGGCCCGACCTCGGCAGATGGCCCGTGCGGAGAGCGGCACGCGGCGCGACCAGCCGGCGTCGCGCTGGCCCGGCCTGCTGGCCGTGGCAGCGCTGCTGACGCTGCTGCTGGCGGTGTACCTGTACCCGTACCTGACGGCCGAGCCCCCACTGCCCGAGCTGGCCGACACCTGGTGGCTGAGGTCGCCGCGGCCCGACGTCGAGGACACGACCGTGCGGCCCTTCAGCATCACTTCCCCGCCCGGCCTCATGGACGACATCAGGGTCAGCGGACACCTTGGCCGAACCCACGGCTTTCCAGGAGTGGACTGACGTTAGAATGACGTCACTGGCCGTAAGCCGCTCTGGATGCTTGTCACGTAACGCTTATGAAGTGGGTGCATTTCTCGCCACGAATATGGCTTTACGGTATCAGGCGAAGTGGCTATAAATTGAAAGCCTATCCGTGGAGGCCGACCCCACGGGCCTTATGCCCCCCCCCCCCACACCCCTGTGACGGGCGCGCTCGTGTTCCGACCTGCAGGCCCGTCTGACGAAGGCGGAGAGTCGGCTGACGCCGCCATTGGAGGGCGCTGCCTTCAACTACGGCTTCAACAGCGACTACCTGCGAGAGGTGATGGAGCACTGGCGCACCAAGTACGACTGGAACCGGCGGCTGCAGCACCTCAATCAGTTCTCCCAGTTCAAGACAAACGTCAACGGACTGGACATCCACTTCATCCACGTCAAGCCCAAGGTACTGCCACAAACCGAGACGTGAATCAGCATCGCACGGGCCTGGGACCACACCCTCTGATCTGGAATCACACTCTCACTCGCGACACGTGTGTAACGCTGCTCGCGCGAGCAGAGAGCGGCCCGCCTTGGCTGATGTCCCATCCCGGCATGTAAGGTACCGATAATCTGGACGAAACTGCCTTCTAATCGCGTAGCCGAACGCACGGGGGAGCGCACAGCAGGCACGTTACAAACATAGTCGTGCTGCACCCCCTGCCTTAGGGCGTCTTACGTGACAAGAAATGAGTGGACCGCTGCTGTGCTGACCGCCCCGCACCCCTCAGACACCGAGTGACAAGTACCGGGTGGAGCCGCTGCTGTGCTGACCGCCCCGCACCCCTCAGGCACCGAGTGACAAGTACCGGGTGGAGCCGCTGCTGTACTGACCGCCCCGCACCCCTCAGATACCGAGTGACAAATACCGGGTGGAGCCGCTGCTGTACCGACCGCTCCGCACCCCTCAGGCACCGAGTGACAAGTACCGGGTGGAGCCGCTGCTGTACTGACCGCTCCGCACCCCTCAGGCACCGAGTGACAAGTACCGGGTGGAGCCGCTGCTGTACTGACCGCTCCGCACCCCTCAGGCACCGAGTGACAAGTACCGGGTGGAGCCGCTGCTGTACCGATCGCTCCGCACCTCTCAGGTACCGAGTGACGAGTACCGGGTGGAGCCGCTGCTGTACTGACCGCTCCGCACCTCTCAGGTACCGAGTGACAAGTGCCGGGTGGAGCCGCTGCAGTACTGACCGCTCCGCACCTCTCAGGTACCGAGTGACAAGTACCGGGTGGAGCCGCTGCTGCACTGACCGCTCCGCACCCCTCAGGTACTGAGTGACAAGTACCGGGTGGAGCCGCTGCAGTACTGACCGCTCCGCACCTCTCAGGTACCGAGTGACGAGTACCGGGTGGAGCCGCTGCTGCTGTTGCACGGCTGGCCCGGCTCGGTGGTCGAGTTCTACAGTGTGCTGCCGCTGCTGACGGCGCCGCGGCCCGGCCATCGGGTGGTGTTCGAGGTGGTCTGCCCGTCGCTGCCCGGATACGGCTTCTCGTCGGCGGCCGAGCGGCCCGGCCTGGGCGCGCCCGAGGTGGCTGCCGTCATGCGCAAGCTGATGCAACGGCTCGGCTTCGAGCGCTTCTTCGTGCAGGGCGGCGACTGGGGCGGCATCATCGCCTCCCACATGGGCACCCTGTTCCCGGAGCAGGTGGCGGGTAAGTGGTGCGGCGCGCCGCCGTCCAGGCGACACGGTCGCGGCGCGTGACGATGGACGTTCAGAATACGTGAATGCGGGCGTGTTGCATGATTTACCGCTGCGTTGTGCAAACGGCCACCGGTTATGCAGTACGCATTGCATCAACCAGCGATTAGATCGCACACGCGCTGCGTTAAAAACAAGATCCCAACCACGCTCCGCTGTGGATTGACCCGCCAGACCGTGATGCGAGCCGCACCAGCGTGGCCTCTGTGCACAGGCCCCAGGCGTAGCAGTCACGCGCCGCCGCCCCGCGCTCACCCGCCGGCGCTGTTACAGGCGTGCACACGAACTTTGCCGTGGCGGACACGTGGCGGATGCGGCTGCTGATGGCGCTGGGCAGCATCGTGCCAAGCTGGGCCGGCTCCGAGTTCTTCACCAGCCGGCTGTACCCGCTCGGCGAGAAGTTGGCCGTGCTGGCGCGCGAGACGGGCTACGCCCACCTGCAGGCCACCAAGCCGGACACAGTGGGCGTGGCGCTGTCGGACTCGCCCGCCGGCCTGGCCGCCTACATCCTGGAGAAGTTCTCCAGCTGGACCGACATGACCAACGTGGCGCGCGAGGACGGTGGCCTGACGCGCCACTTCTCGCTGGACGCGCTGCTCGACAACGTCATGGTGTACTGGCTGAGCGGCAGCGTGACGAGCTCCCTGCGGCTGTACGCCGAGACGTTCGGCCGGCGCGTGGCGGCCATGCAGCTGGACGCCATCCCGTGTCGCGTGCCCGTCGGCCTGCTGTACGCGCCCAACGAACTCATGCTGCTGTCGCCGGCGATGCTAGCCGGCAAGTTCGTGGATGTGGTGGCGGCGCGCCAGCTGGGGGACGGCGGCCACTTCCTGGCCATGGAGCGGCCGCACGAGCTGGCCGAGCACGTGTTCGTCACCGTCACCGCCATACGGCGCCGCGAGGAGCTGCAGCTGGAGAAGCAGCGGCAGGCCGAGCAGGAGAAACAGCGCCAGCGGGAGACGGAAAAGCAGCGACAACAGCGGGAGAAGGAGCAGCGGGAGCATCGCGCCCATCAGGACAAAGAGAAGCAGAAGCAGCAGCAGAAGCAGCACAAGCAGCACAAGCAGCAGAAGACAAAGCAGTAGTGAGACAAAAATGCGAGATGAGTAGTCTCATCACCATCGATCACCGACGGACCCATGGGGAAGGGATCAATATTTGCCATGAGACCGGACGGAAACTCCTACCAAAGGGTAAACTATGGCCCGCTTATTTAATCGCGCAGATAAAGCGTCGCGTTGCGCAATGAGGGGCTGGAGAAAATCAATAGAACGCCCAGAGGCGATGACGCTTCAGCGTTAAGAACGACCATAGCGAGTGAAACATGTAACGAACTGTTTTTGCAGCCAGGTATGCTAACCACGTCGTTTTGCAATCTGGCCACACCTAAACACCGTGTCACGTTTTCAGCAAAAGGGCATTGAAGCGTTTGCTAGACAGTTCAAATACACAGCTTTTAACAAACATTCTGTTTATTACACACGTACACGAGCGTATGTCGCAGAGCTAGAGGCCAGCCTCAGCGTGGTCGGGCCGGCTGGCCGGCCGGCATCAGTCCTCCATGTCGCTGAGGCCGGGCCGGGTGGGCGTGCGCCGCGCCCGCTGACCCCGGTTGAACGAGGCGCCCACGTCGTTCGGCGCCGGCCGTTTCCGCAACCCCAGGATCGGCGACGTTAGCGCGTCCTCCAGGGTCTGGCGGAGGGTGGTGGGAGGTGAGGGCAGCCCGTCCAGGGTCTGGTGGAGGGTGGTGGGAGGTGAGGGCTGCCCGTCCAGGGTCTGGTGGAGGGTGGCGGGAGGTGCGGGCGGCCCGTCCAGGGTCTGGCGGTGGGTGGAGGGTGGTGGGAGGTGAGGGCAGCCCATCCGGGGTCTGGTGGTGGGTGGTGGGAGGTGAGGGCTGCCCGTCCAGGGTCTGGTGGAGGGTGGCAGGAGGTGAGGGCAGCCCATCCAGGCTCTGGTGAAGGGTGGCGGGAGGTGAGGGCAGCCCGTCCAGGGTCTGGTGGAGGGTGGTGGGAGGTGAGGGCAGCCCGTCCAGGGTCTGATGGAGGGTGGTGGGAGGTGAGGGCAGCCCGTCCAGGGTCTGATGGAGGGTGGTGGGAGGTGAGGGCTGCCCGTCCAGGGTCTGGTGGAGGGTGGCGGGAGGTGAGGGCAGCCCGTCCAGGGTCTGGTGGAGGGTGGTGGGAAGTGAGGGTTGTCCGTCCAGGGTCTGATGGAGGGTGGTGGGAGGTGAGGGCTGCCCGCCCAGGGTCAGGTGGAGGGTGGGGGAAGCCTCGGACCGCCCCGGCACGGGGCCCACACCGCACGGCTTAACACGCTCTTCTTCGTGAGATGTTTTGCCATTCAGTGCTGTACTCTATGGTCAGATCGTATCAGCCGCCCAAACCTCGCCAGTCTGCTCCATGCGTGGTGCAATGAAACTCTCCTTCTCCGCGACGCGAGATTAAAATAAGACAGCGCGATACAACAGCGGTTGTTGTACGCCTCAAATTTGGCCATGACTAATAAACCGGATTTTTTGGATTTGTGAACACACTAAAAAAAAACGTCGAAGGAACATCTTCCATGCGGAATGCACAGCTTCATCAAATACCGCTCCACTGTGCCCCAGCTCTAAACTCTTAAACGAGGACCGCTCCAGCACACGCCACCGCACCTGTCAGCGCGACAACCCGTCGTACTCACCGCGTCCCTAGTGAGTCCGTAGCTTTGGAGGCCTTGTTTCACGCTCTGCCACTTGGCGTTCACCTGGGCGTCATTTTTCCTTTGCACAGAAGCCTCGACGCGGTCAACCTGCCGACGTGAAAACGCTGACGGGATTGCTCAGCACTTGTATGGGGTTTGAGCTGCTGTGGCCACCTTGCAGACCATTCGCTGCGGTTCACAGCCCTGCCCTTCATACGACATACAACCCTCTAGTTTCTGGGCCACACGCCCACACAAACCTGCGGTTTATTCCGTGCGGACTATCAGCGCTATCAAATCCTGCCATGCCACTGGTCATGCGGCGTACAAGGTCAAGAAAAATATAGCTGTCGAGTCGTTCATGTCAGGACACTCACGGCGTCCGAGACAACGGCGAAGCCGTCTCGTAGCTTGTACGGCAGGTCGGCCAGCAGTGGTTGCCCCAAGGTCTCCACCGCCTCGGCCGGCCGGTCCAGGTCGGCCAGGCTGAGGGCCTGTCGGTCAGGGGCAGCCGTCAGGCACGGCGCCGGGTCAGTTGCAGTCCGAAGTGACGTCACGAGCCCGATGACGTCAGGCACCAGGTGGCGTCTCGGGCGTCGGGTCAACAACAGCACGCCGAGCGGAATACGGCAGGCCGATGCCGGACTAGAGACAAGCTCCAACCGTGCTTCAGGTAGACAGATACCCCCGCCGCCGCGAGGCCGAGAGACAGATACCCCGCCGCCTCCATCCCCCTGACAGACCGACCACGGGTTCCTGTCGCTGGCAGCACGGAGGGCCCACCACCGCGAACCACGCACCCCGGGGGAAGTGGACATCCCGAACAAAAGGCGACTGCTTCCCAACTGGCTCCCATGGGCTGTCCGCGCCCCTGCGAGGCCACGGACGGCGGCATGCCGGCCTGCGGTCGCGTCAGGTCAGGTCAGGTCGGGTCGGACGCCGTCACACCGGCCGCCATCGGCCGTCCGCGCCCCGCGAGGCCACGGACGGCGGCGTGTCGGCCTGCGGTCAGGTCAGGTTGGGTTGGGCGCCGTCGCACCGGCCGCCCGCGCCCCGCAAGGCCACGGACGGCGGCATGTCAGGCCAGGTCGGGTCGGACGCCGTCACACCGGCCGCCATCGGCCGTCCGCGCCCCGCAAGGCCACGGACGGCGGCGTGTCAGGCCAGGTCGGGTCGGGCGCCGTCGCACCGGCCGCCATCGGCCGTCCACGCCCCTGCGAGGTCACGGACGGCGGCGTGTCGGCCTGCGGTCAGGTCAGGTTAGGCCAGGTCAGGTCGGGCACCGCTGCACCGGCCAAGACGGCCCGTCCCGTGCGGCAGCGTACGGCTGCCCTGGGGCCAGTCGCACGGGACCGGACGCAGTGAGGGAAGCCCGGCCGGACGACAAGGGTGGGACGTCGAGACACACAGCTGACAATGGGTAACGACGGCTGATGATTTCTGAGGAAACGCGATACCAGATGGCGGGATGCCGATCACAAGGAGTGCGTGGCGTGCAAACGTGTGTAGCAGTGCGTGATTGAAGGTCACGCTGGTGCACCGCCTATCAACATGCCTCGCAGTGTGACGGTGAGAGTGGAGCCAGACGTCACAGTCGGGCCTGGTCGCCGTCTCTTTACAGTGGGTCTGGCAGTGTGACGATGAGAGGGGAGCCAGACGTCACAGTCGGGCCTGGCCGCCGTCTCTTTACAGTGGGTCTGGCAGTGTGACGATGAGAGGGGGGCCAGACGGGGCCTGGCCGCCGTCTCTTTACAGTGGGTCTGGCAGTGTGACAATGAGAGGGGGGCCAGACGGGGCCTGGCCGCCGTCTCTTTACAGTGGGTCTGGCAGTGTGACGATGAGAGGGGAACCAGACGTCACGGTCGGGGCCTGGCCGCCGTCTCTTTACAGTGGGTCTGGCAGTGTGACGATGAGAGGGGGGCCAGACGTCACAGTCGGGGCCTGGCCGCCGTCTCTTTACAGTGGGTCTGGCAGTGTGACGATGAGAGGGGGGCCAGACGTCACGGTCGGGGCCTGGCCGCCGTCTCTTTACAGTGGGTCTGGCAGTGTGACGATGAGAGGGAGGCCAGACGTCACGGTCGGGGCCTGGCCGCCGTCTCTCACCAACAGATCTCGCAGCAGGGGCTTGGCCGTGTCCCTCCGCCGCCGGAGGAGCCGCAGCGCCTCGTCCGGCGCCCCCTGGCGCAGCAGCAGCGCTGCCGCCAGCGCGACGGCCCGCGGCGACGTGGCGTGTCCCACCTCCTCCAGTCGCAACAGCAGGTCGCGCACGTATTCAAACGACGCCGCCGAGTTCTGCGGCGCGAGCGACGACGCATCAGGGTCGGGGTCGGCGTCGGAGGCAACGAGTCCGAGTCGCCCTCGGGCTCGCCGAGGACAAGTCGGAGTCGGCTGAGTGGGAGGGGGAACTCGGAGTCGCCTCCACAGGTCAGTCAGGGTGGCCGTGAGAGAAGTCGGTCCCATTCGGTCGTAGGAGACGCGTCGAAAGCACCTCGCGTCGGTGGCGAATTGGAGCCCATCTTGGCGTGCTAGCCAGTGTCGGATGAGTCAGGGATGGTCTCAGAGGACGAAACGGACAGCTTTCGATGAGCCAGAGTCGGAGTCAGCTTCACAGGCCGAGGGAGAGTAGTAAACGGTACGAGGCAGGAGTCACGAGTCGAGTCCCGCCGTGGGTAAAGCCAAGGGACAGAGGACGGCTTTGGAATAGTCATCTCATTGAACAGCCTGCTGACGAGATTTGGTACTCGTATGTCAAATAACGTATTCGAATAAAAAACATTCCGTAACAGTTGACTGCACCGACGCGCTCACCGGGCTGTCCTTAGTGGCAGCAGTGTATCAACGACGTTCGTTTAGTCTAGCATTTTCTTTTTACAATTTTACTAAATGCGGCTCAATGCCTTAAAGAAAGACCAAATGCTTGCGAAACCCAGCTCCACGCACACCTGCCGTGCACACTTGTTCTCTATGCCGCCAGCCCTCACCAGCTGGTAGCAGGCGGCCATGGCCAGGGCGACGCAGTCGGCCGGGTACTTGGAGCCGTGTAGCTGCCGTGTTTGCACCTCATCGAAGGTGTCCAGCACGTCCTGGTACCGGCCCTGCTTGTACAGCAGGTCCAGCAGCAGCGTGAAGCTCGTCAGCTGGTCAAAGAAGCCGTCCAGCTCCGGATTTCGGAACGCCTGCGGAGCGGAGCGGCATTGTCGCAGCTTCGGACAGGGGGACACCGAGCAGCAGCCGGGCCACGCCTGCGGAGCGGAGCGGCATTGTCGCAGCTTCAGACAGGGGGACACCGAGCAGCAGCCGGGCCACGCCTGCGGAGCGGAGCGGTACTGTCGCAGCTTCGGACAGGGGGACACCGAGCAACAGCCGGGCCACGCCTGCGGAGCGGAGCGGTACTGTCGCAGCTTCGGACAGGGGGACACCGAGCAGCAGCCGGGCCACGCCTGCGGAGCGGAGCGGCACTGTCGCAGCTTCGGACAGAGGGACACCGAGCGGCAGCCGGGCCACGCCTGCGGAGCGGAGCGGCATTGTCGCAGCTTCGGACAGGGGGACACCGAGCAGCAGCCGGGCCACGCCTGCGGAGCGGAGCGGCACTGTCGCAGCTTCAGACAGGGGGACACCGAGCAGCAGCCGGGCCACGCGCTGTGGTCTGGACAGGACGCATGACAGTAGGAGGAACGATCTTGACGCATCCACTTACATAAAAAGATTCTCTTGTACGCTTTTCTGCCCGATGAAACCTGCGCTACACAGTTGTGGCGAACACGATTACACGCTTCGAATGAGCTCATTTTGTGTTAGCGTCATAATGAGAACGTTCACCGAAGTTCTGCTTACCTGAAGTGCCTGATCTGCCAGCTGATGGTGCCAGTACATTCGCATGACGACCGGACCAAAGACGAAACTACCGAATCGCACCGATGAAGCCTGTGAATGCAGCCTGTAAAACCAGATGTGCTGTAAAGAAATGGCAGAACTAATAACAGCAGTTAAAACAGCCGTGGGTAAAGTGAAAAGGTTTCTTAAACCCAATGAAAGGCTTAAAGATTACAACAAAGCAAAGGGATGAGACAGCTGGCATTAGTGCAGATCGACTGCCAGACTGACAGGGATGGTGATGAAAAGGGTTTCACCAGCCAGGATAGCAGGGCATATTCATTAACTGAACAACACCAGGTCTAAATGGGAACAGTGTCGCGTGCGCGTCCGAGTCGTTCGGGGGTCACCGACCGGGCAGCGAGCGGAGCCAAGCGGACCGAGCGCAACGGTGGGAGGTCGGACACGTGCTAGGACGAGCGCAGCGGCGCAGGCGCGCGCCCAACAATACATGCGACGTCGCGTCAGCGATGGCTTGGTGGGGGCTGCCTTAAATTGGAACATCACCACCAAATGCGTGGCAAGAGGCCACGATGGGTCATGCCCCAATAGTAAGACAGCGTTCATTTGCCAGAGACCATCGCCCGCGCAGCTGTCACCTGGTTATCATGCGCGTGAGGAGCACTTGGTCTTGCTCTTCAGCTTCGGCCACGTGCACCAGCTGACGTAGCTCCTCTGAGAAGGCCATACGCTCAAGGCCACTGGCGAACTTCTCCAGGCGCTGATGGAGCTCATCCTTTGAGTCGGCCAGACGCCGGCCCACCTGGGTCCGCCGCTGGCGGTACTCGTCCACGCCCAGCCGACCAGCGCCAAACAGGGTGCGAGCTGGCGGCACAGACAACTCACCGCTGAACACCATCAGCTCAATTGCCTCATGACTGCACCATGATGACCTGCTTCACAACAAATGTACCTGTTGGGCCAATAGCATAAAAATTATAACTCAAGCCCATCAGGAATGAAAAACTAAAGACACGGCTTGGTGCAGAACCATAAATTGGCACAAGATGAGCACTGCACTACATGCTTTGCAGCATGTTATGGCAGGTGATGAGCAAATAGACATGGCAGCCAATGCCCAAAGCAACTGAATTGAGAATTATAACCAATGCCATTGACCTGGGGGTCCAGTATAAAGGCTCAACTGAGGGCGAAACTAACTAAGTTTTACTTGAGAGCTTGGTTTCATGCACTAGTTTCTGGTGCTCATTTCACATTCATTAATGACAGGGACTGCAACAGACATGTTCCACATACTTTTTAAAGGCTGAAGTAGGGTAACCAACCTAAAATAACCAAGGTCAACATCCTGTTTTCAGAATATACCGCTTTGTGTTTCGCTGACACTTACTCAAAATGACAAAATGGGGACAATCTTGTAGGTATTTAGTCACCTCAATCTCACAAAAGTCAAACAAGGTCACTGACCTAATTGACATTTTGCTTAGGACAGGTGCAGCAGCTTCACAGTGGTTGCATGAGGAGGCATGGGGGCACTTAAAACACCAATCTGCAGTTTGGCCTTGTTTGACCTATTTGATCCAAGGCCATGACCTAGGAACATCAAATTTTGGTACAGGTGAGTTCACATATGGGCCAACACACTCTGTGAATTTGGTGTCTCTAGCTCTCCAAATTTCTGAGATCTAAAGGGTGAGGGTCAAATTGACATCCCATCACCCAGTGAAGGATATTCAACTGGTCACCCTAGCATGTGTTAACTGTTGGCGAATATCAATACAATACACTTGTGTATCCATTTCCGGAGCATGGAAATGTGTTATGGAGGTCATTCCATAGCAAAGACCAGAACCATATGGAAAGGGTGCAATAACCAGTTTTATATATAGCTAACACAGAAGCCTTGTTGCATACAAGCTCATTACTTGGCTTACTTAACAGGCCAGAGGACCTTAATCAGTTTCATGAAAAAGTTCACATATTTGGTAGTGATTAGACAAACCAACCCAGGTGGCTGATAAAGATGTTCCAAACATCTGACCTGCTGACCAGCTGGAGGTCCAATGCATTGAGGCTCTAGTCATGTCAGATATGCTTGTGCCCTGGCAATGATGTCACTTACCACTGCTTTGTTTGCATGCAATGCCTTAACAATGCAGTTCTCACAGGGCATGCATCTCTGGTTGTACATGAGCTGCCAACCAGCTACTAGCATCGGACATGGAAGAAGCTCAGGCTATCCACACAGATCATGGTTTCTTATCCAGCATGGCACTGTGGTTTTTTATTTCAATCCTTTATAACAATATAAGTACACCCAATTAAACTGCATTTGGACCACATGCTTGCATGTGGTAACCAAAAAATGGCAATACTTGTAGGCCAGGCTCAAGAGATCAACCACCATGTATCTAAAATCTTACCATGCTGGGATACAGCATCTCTCCGCCGCCCTAAAGCTCTCAAGGAACTAGGAATGATGGAGAACATCATTTCAGAAGTCAGGGAGCAAACTGATGAGCCAAAAGCTTAAAGACAAAAATATTCATTAGCTATAGTCTTGCTAAAAATGCAAACCACATGATTACATTTACACACTGTGATATGACCCTTAATCTCTGTGAGGAAAGTCAAGAGTATAAGGTAGGGTCTAAAAAACTGGCATATGATGCAGACATGCAAGTTTTCGAAAACGGCCCGCTGGATCGCTTTAAAACCTTCACCAATGGATTCTGTGCAGTGAGGTAGAACATAGGGAGGCAATAATGAGACCTGACCTGAGGTCAAACACCTCAAAAATGTGAGAGGAATATTTCACAAGCCAATGCAGACAGCTCAGATCTTGGGCCTACAGGACCAAACACTGTGGGACTTAACAGGCCAGAGGACCTTATTCAGGTTCATGAAAATGTTCACATATTTGGTAGTGATTAGACAAACCAACCCAGGTGGCTGATAAAGATGTTCCAAACATCTGACCTGCTGACCAGCTGGAGGTCCAATGCATTGAGGCTCTAGTCATGTCAGATATGCTTGTGCCCTGGCAATGACCACTGGATGCCCCATGCCTGATTCCCTCTTGCAGTTCCAAATTTGGTGACACTAGATCAGGTCAAAAGTCACCAAATTTCACAAAGTCCAAAATTATTGCTTGCAGACAACCCATAGCTCAGGACCTACTGGCAGTGACCAGTCCAGTAGGTTCAGACCAATAAGTTGTCCTCAAGCAAGAATTTTGGACTTTGTGAAATTTGAAGGCCTTTGACCTGACCTGGGGTCCCCAAATTTGGAACTGGAAGCCAGAATCAGATACGGGGCATCCAATGGTGAAGGTCTCACAATGATTGGTCCCGTAGGCTCAGGACTGAGTTGTCTGCATCTGCATGTAAAATTTTCTCTTCACATTTTCGAGGCATTTGACCTCAGGTCAAGTCTCAACATCACCTCCCCATGACTCACCTCATTGCACGGAATCGATTGGTGAAGGTTTCAAGGCGATCGGGGGAGCCGTTTTAGAAAACTTACGTGTCTGCGTCACATGCCGATTTTCTAGGCCCTCCCAGAGTCCAACAACGCGGCACCGGACGGTAACGCGCCAGCTTTGTATTGCATGCGCCGCCCAGAGGAAAATATAATCCGCAACTAAATCGCAAGATGGTCAGTTAGAGCGCTGACGCCATCGAAAAGAAATACAATTGCAGATTGCGCATATCACGCATTACGTGTAGTACCCCTGTGCGAAGCTTGCGTCGATCGGTGCTTGCTGTCTACCGATGAGCCTTGTATCAACTACGAAAGTGTCATCGTGTATCCAACACCATTGCTTTTCCCACCAGGGTCGCGTTCCCCATCTGCAAAGTACCAACTTCAGTTGTCACCTATGAGGTCGCGAGTATCTACGTCAAACATCAGCGACTATCTCCAAACCGCAGGGGCTGTCGTGACGTACTTACATCTAGCGTCATAGCTTGCAACTTGTGGACAGCTCTTGGCGATGGGGAACGCGGCCCAGGTGTAAACCAAGCACCATGGACGGTTCTCCACAGGCGCATATCTGCGCGCTCACTTTGGAAAATGAACGCCGGATCCATGGCACGTGAAATGGGCTGACTGGCACTTGGTCTAATTTCGGTGACGCCTGCCGCACCGCCGACACATGGGTGTGCACGCTCTTCGCAGGCTTTTTCGCCCTTGGACGTGGTTCTCTTCCTGCTTCGGGGTCTTAGATGCGAGATGACCCATGACATAGCGCATCAATACCTCTAAATATCGCGCGACTCCCGCTCCCGACGCACACTACGCCGTCTGGACAGCGCCGTGCTGGCAAGATTCTGCCCGTCCTTGCCCCCAACTCTCTTAGGCGTGGAAACAACCGGCACTAATCAATCGTATGGTGCTCCCTAACCGCAGCGTCGTGTCTGAGAATGGAAGGACTGTGTGGATGCTCCGTTTGTCCGCTCCTCGGGATGCCCTTCCATTCTTCAGGATTGAGCTCCACAAATGATGTCCAACATCCGCATTGTTGGTGCTGAAGGCATTCGTGAGGGTGATTTCCTCGCCGACCCAATAATTTTCAACACACACTTATCAAAGCTGCCGCTCACAAAATCGCTTCTACGGAAATATCAATCAGTTAAGATTGGACTCCAGCACGTCAATCGATTCGCAGCCTAATCCTGGTCAGGTCTTCATCTCTGGGCTATCGTCGTCCGCTAGCACTCATCCACATGCCATGCATGCCTCCACACAGCATTAAAACACTCAGCGCGCGATGTTCAGCACTCTGTATTCTCGTGAGACAGTTAATCGCGCATCTCGCGCTTTTGCCTGGCCAGCTTCTTCTTGGAGACTTTCTTCTTAGTGGGCTCGTCGTCAGTGACGCGCGACACGACGTCCTGCTTCTCGGTCAGGATCACCTGCCGGAGAGGGGTGCCGCCGTCAGCTGGGCCGACCGCGCGGGGCCGCAAGCGGGGTCACGTGTACGGCGGCGCACGAGCCGAGGCGGACACAACACCCGCATACCGAGCGGGGGACCGACCAAACGTCGGCATACCGAGTCCGGACCGAAACAACACTGGCACACCGAATAGGGGGGGGGGGGGAGGGGTGGACACAGCACCGCCACACTGAGCGGGAGCGGGGGGGGGAGGGGCCAACATAGACCCGGCACAACGGGTTCACACTAAGCGGGAGGGACGAGGGGTCAACACAGACCCGGCACGAGCCGGAGGCGGACATAGCACTGGCACACCGAGTGGAGTTGGGGGACACAGCCGATTGCCACTCGCTCGGATCGGGTGAACGCTACGATTTGATAGTGCTGTTGTGGTCTTACAAAGCAGGATTGCTTTCAAAGATTGCAAAACAGATTGCTGGCAGCTATCAGCTTTCAACAAAGGCAAAAATGGAAGTGGCTGCCCTTGGAACATGTGTAAGGCAGGGATGGCAATGCTCAGTGTGCTTTCACCAGCAGGGGAAATCGGAACACACTCAAACACCGGAAGCACGAAAAATACAACGTATGAACCTTGCACAATTTTGAAACGCTCTCACCCTGAAGAACTTTAGGAACGAGATCTACACGCTACCAACACACAACGTCCCGATCGCTCCAAGCTGACCAAACTGATGACACAGTAACCCAGGTTTCACAGAGTACACAACCATAAAGTGACAGTGACGCACGCCCGCCGGCCCACACCGGCCTTAAATTAATCACCATCGTCCGGGCAGGCGACCAGGAGCGCGCCGTTTCCTAACCAGCGTACGGGGCTGCACGGGTGGAAGTCTCACCTCGACGTGGCATGGGCTAGCCATGTAGGGGTTGATGCGTCCGTGAGCGCGGTACGTGCGCCGGCGCATCTTGGCCGCGCGGTTGACCTGGATGTGCTCCACCACCAGATGGTCCACGTCCAGCCCCTTGAAGTCGGCGTTGGCCTCGGCGTTGCGCAGCAGCTGCAGCAGGTGTTCGCACGACTTCTTGGGCCAGCGGCCCTGCGTGGTGCCGAACGCCTTGGCCTGCAATGACGCGGATGTGGGAACGGCGCGGCAAGGTGCGGGCCCAGGCGGACCGGGAGCAGACCGGGGCTGGTGCCGGCAGCACGTGGCGACGCATCTAGTGGTGGGAATGGGTACGGCAGACCACCAACTGGGACAGACAACCAAACTGTTTCTTGTGAGGGATTTCAGGGCAGATTGCAGATGACCTGCATCTGGCTGTACCACCAAGAACTTAAGATCACTGAACATTTGGGACTACGGCTTTGGCATACCAATGGAGGACAAGATTTGCAACCATTGAACAATCCACGTGACTGGCGCAGTTGGACGTACAGGGGCAGCGCAGCCCAGAAGCTCCGCAGGTGTGCGGCTGTATTTCCCAAAGGCTCTTTGGCTTTAGGGGGAGCAGGTATTCAAAACCAGTTTTAACTGAGGCCTATTGTCTGAAACTTCAGTGTTCCTTGGCGTTTTTAACCCCAATACATTTTGTTCTCCACAAATATAGACCGGAAAGAATCTAAAAATTGTTCTCTGTGTGCGACATTGAGAGTATGAGACTGTGTTGTTCCAGTGTGCCATTTTTAATACTGATGTTTCATTTCATTCAAAGTGCATTTACATGAATTCCTGCATATGAAAAGTAGCACTTTTGTTGAGTGCCACCCATTGTACTATTCTTCCCATTGTACTATCTCTTCTCCCTCAAAGATAACCTAAATAAAGCTGTAATGACCTGCAGCACTTAGATGTTATACTCCGCTACCAGAATTTTTTTTTGGAATTCCCCGCACTCGACCACAGTCCAAACTTCCTACTGATGCATCTGAATATGAGATCATTAGCACCGCCACTTCCGGTGTTAGGTGGGGCCAACAAAAGCTTTCCTCGGTGGAAGTTGGGTGCCACACATACCTTGGTCTCCTCTGATTCCATTAAAATCCCTCATAAGCTGAGACCAGTTTTTTCGGCCACATTACGATGTTGCCAGAAAGTCGCTACTGAATGGTGGCTTACAGCAAACATTGGTTATATTGAAGCACAACCTCTAAAAAATGTATCCCTTGTCATCAAAAAGGCATGGAATCAGTCATTACAAAGAGGTGTCATCAAAAGCACAGCCAGCCAGATCTTGTCTGCCATGCCACTGACGCTACATGCATTGGGACACGCTTGAGCACCACCTTGTCGATTATTCAAGACTGCACCCCCACTGTTATCTGTTGATGCTGACCTGGGCACAACGTCCAACTCCGCCGCTGAACTTGGTGAAAGGCACACACTCCTTGTGGCCGATCACATTCTTCAGGTAGCGGGTTGCCCGCCTCAGGGGCATCTTTTTCAGCACCTTGGCTGTTTCATAGGTGTTCTGTAATTAAAAGCACAAATATACAACATAAGCTTACATTCCCTATCTTAATACCTATATATAATAAAAGACTGATAGCTAACATTCCCTAACTTCATAACAAAGAAAGACTGGGATGATGAAGCAATCTCAATGCCAACCCTGCATAGCAATACTGGTTTAAACTACTGCACATCTACAGCTTGGAGACTACCCATCCATCAACATGAAACACACGATCATAAAGTCAAACTTGATTTCAACTCTAATACAGTCACAGACAAAGCCACAAAAATATATCACTGGAGACCACAAAAATACATCAAGTTTATGATATTGCACCCTTGTAACAAATCTACTGTGATAATGTCCAAGCTGAATATGCAGGCAAACAGTTCAAGTACAGCACAAGAAGCACACCTTAAAGTGTGCCCTAAGGTTGTCAAAGCGAGACTTGCAGCTCTTGGCCTGATTGGCAGGCTCCCTTGCGTAACGTCCCATCCCTGGAACTGAAACGCAAAATCTTTGTTAGTCCAATCGACCCCCGCACAGCAGCTCAATACATTTGCCAGAGCCTATCTGTACTTACCCTGAGTAACATGGATCATCTGCAATTTGGTGGGTTTTCCCAAATTATTCCAAGGTGCCACACCTCAAGTTGGGGCAGGCTGAGCCAACATCTACACACAATCAGCTGCATTCTAAAAGCTTGGAATCCAATAGTTTCATTGTGTGGGCCATAGAATACTCTGCTGAGGTGCCAGGCTGGCGGTTGTGCGGTGTTGCAGGCAGTGTCTCCGTTCCCCCACACACACCATCAGGACAGATCAACAGGGACTCAAATGTGGATGGACTTGCCTCACCCATGTGAGGCAAGGCTTGCTCTTGCCCTGGACTGGCAATTTATGAGTGAGAAATGTTATTGGGCTTTGACACTTTAAATGTGGTTTGGTCTTGCTCTCCTTCTCAGTTCTTGCCTCCCCCCCCTTGTTCTGGACTGGCAGCATTGATGCAATGCCTGGCATGGTGGAGCTTCTATCCTCTCCTTAGTCATGCAGCACTACCAGAGAGGCTAGTACCTTGTTGCACACTCAACAGAGCTGATTAGCATGGCCACCACAACTTTTGCCAAACAATCATACCCAATCATACCCTAAGTCTTTGATTTGCAATACCGCTAAAGTAGAGACTGAACCTGGACCTGTGCCATCATACATGCATCTTGCCTGCAACACCGTGGGGTAAACCAGAAGTGACCTTCCTGCAGAAGCTCCTGCAAGAATGTGGGACTTTCAAACACCTGACTACATGCACTATATACATTCTGCTAGTGCATGGCTGCAAAATTTGGATCTTGCTTGACATGGTCCCCTGGGTCATACAGGGGGAGGGCACCCACATGAAGATGCATAGTATGTCAAGCAGAAAAGCTGCCATCAGGTGTACTATATGGCCCAGCATGACCACTGTGCCAGACCCTTACTCTCATGGAACACCATGTAATGGGGATATGCATGCCTCTCAGCATCTATAAACAAGACAAGTGTGATATAGATCTGAGGGCAAACAGGGCCAGTAAGCCAAAATGTGGGCACAAGCAAGCTCATTTTTGTTATAAGAAGGCAACCAGACATTTCAGCCTGCACAGTTTAACCTATGGTATCAGATACCTGATGTAAATGTTTCATCAGAGCCAGTGTCCTAGTGAGGCAATGCTGAACTAAGTTTAAGAAAGCTGAGTGGCCAAAGGCACACCCAGTTACTCTGACATGGCAGCTACCAGTATGGGGGCATGTCAACCTTTGTCCACCACACTGATATTCAATGCCACAAGACAATCCATGAACAGGGTCCATTTTAAAACCATGCTGTCCCCAGTGGAAAATGATGTGTTTACTTTAAAATGTTCTCTAGACAAATGGCCTTTTCCCAATTCATTTTTTTCCATACAAAAAGCATGTTGTCCACCCTCTGGTGATTAAGCAAAAAAAATTTCAAACTCAGTAACCATAGCTTGGCTTAAACCATCCTTGACCTGAACTGATCATAAAATGTATTGCATTAGGTGGGCCTTAAATGGCTCATACTGGTACTCATTGCATGACAAATTCTGTACATGTTCTCAAATATATGTCCAACGATGACATGTAGCACTCTTCTATGCTGATACTTAAGAGAAGACACAGTTGTTGAAGGCTGGGTTACACCTGCACTTAAACAATATGCCACTGTAGAGCCATGGCATCTTGGCTATGGTGTCTGTGGCATCTATGGAAACCATCTGCATTTAAGTACTACCTACAAACATCCTAATATGATAGTCACTGTTAAGCTATTGCCGTTAGGTTAGTGACCACTATAAGGTCCCTTCCTAATAATGACCTACATGGTTATCCTGGAGATAATCACTGACCAACATATTCAGCTTTGATGTTGCACATGGCTAATATAGGACACCTGCCACAGTTTCCTACTGTGAGCATTTGAAGTAGAGATATCCATGGCATTCTACCTTGTTCTTTAATGAATTATGATCATAAAATGGGGCAAAATGGATAGATGAACAAACAAATCATTCCAATGGAAACATGACATTACATCTACATTCTATATGGAAACGCAAGTAGCAAGCTTTCCAGTTAATAAACCTGTTAACACCTTAACTTAGCATGCCATGGACTCGCACATGCTGACAAAAATATCAGTCTAAGAGACACATTCATCACATCCATGAAAAAGTTCGTTTGTGAGAAAACTAAGTGCACCCAAAGGATCACCGAACCGAAGCACGGTAGGTGCACACAGTACCAGCGCACGAGACGAAGTTGGAGTTCGCTTCGACACTCCCCGACCGTCACGCTTCACAGACCCAATGCGTGAGCTGATCAAGGAATAAAAATTAAAAAACAATGTTTGAATCTAAATTCACAACAACGATAACGAAAGCCGTAAACCCGATGATAAGTATAATGCCGACAACCTCTTACCAGTTGTTTAGACGGAAAGGCCAGCGCCGCCGGTTCGAGAAAATATCGCAAATTATACTGGTCGTAATATCACGGTTCATCACTTGGAAGGCCGATAAAATGCAATTTTATGAAACTTTTATGGCGGTTGAAACATATATATCATGGAAACAAAGCCTTCATGGCCGCACGTGGGCTAGACTAAGGTGTTCCACAGAGCAGGTTTAATAAATGTAGTATTAAGCTTGGAGAAACGGTAGTGGTAATAACACAATAATAGTGTGATTTGGCTTTTGTAGGAGATATTGAATGTAGACTTGCGACTTCTAAAATGTAAGACCTTTTTCGTTTTTAGTGAAAGTAAAGTCATTTTAGTACACGGGAAATTGAATCCTCTTGTTATGCGTTGAGTTCGTCTACAAATATTACGTGCGTCATATATAGAACTTTATATCCGCGCCGTTACCGCTACTCTGGACCCCGCGTACACATCTTCGTACAAGTGGCCTTGAGTCCTCAACCCTCGCGGATGTCTGGCGTTGCTGCGACTAATGTGTCTGGATCTGTAGCTGAATGTTGAGTGCAAAAAGGATTTCAATTAAACCGAAATCGACGTTAGATAGAATACGGCTCAAAAAGTATTCTTGAGGAATCGGGTATGTACGAACGTAATTGCATTCTTTGCTGGGATGGATAGTGTCTGTGATATGGAACCAGGGCAGAGGGCCAGTCTACAAAAATAAGTTCACTGTTCCATGTGCTTACGTGATGTAAGTACTTAGCTTGGGGCAGGCATATGCTGAACTGAGGCCAGGTCAAATTTTTTTGTGTTTTGAACTTAATTTAGCCTGATCTTTATCATGTGTCAGTTGTGAGCTTGCTCACAGTTTCCTTTTGTGTAAGGAACTGGGCTCTCAGATGTATGGCTTGCATGCTCTGAAATTGCTACTGAGATCCTGGCAAAGCATTATCATCTAGGTAGGAGCTGGTGTGTGGAGAGAACTTGCAACATTTTCATGAAGCTTATTGCTCATGCAGCAGTGAATAGTTGTGATGTAAATGATGTTTTGAACCTGGTGTGGAATATGCCATTCTCACCACCTTGAAAGCATTGTGGGGCATCATCCTAAGATGTTATGGCAAAGGCAGTGTGTGCCAAGAGCATTCTTTCAACCTCCCTGTGCATGTTTGTCTGCAATGAGTGCCAAAGGCAGAGGGGATTTGGTTAAAACTACAAGCAATACTGACATTGTCAATCATGTTGTTAGGAAGTGATGCATATGGAGGCTGAGGAGGGCCTCTATCATAGTGGAATGATAAGGACCTCACTTTTGAGGGATTCTCAGGTTTGTTAGTGTATTTACATCATGCATCTTTGCTTTGGCACAGCATTGCCTTACAGGCCTGCAGAAGCCTGTGATTCTGAGATGGCCATATGGTCAGGCAGTGGGATTTAGGCTCATGTGTGCTAAATGGAATATTTGGTGTTGGTTCACATTGGTGCCTAATGCTAGAAAAAATTGTACATCATTTGTTGTGTTTAAGGCAAAACATATTATAAGTAATCATACAACAGGTAGATTCATGCTCCTACCTTCAAATTTTAATAACTGATAGTGACCCCCTGAGCCCCACATTCACCCCACCACCTTGACTCCTCAGCACTGTTTCTGTGTTATCATTGGGTAAGTACAATATTTCTGCTTATCAAGAACCTTAAAAAATGTATGGGGCCAAGGTAACAATAATAATGCAATGAAAAGCGTTTCTTATCGCATCTAGGTACTTTATGAAACAGATAAGCCAGAACAGTCCAGAACATAGCCTAAACTAGCTTAACCTAATCTAACCTGACCTAACCTAACCTAGCATAGCCTAACCTAGTCTAGCCTAACCTAACCCAGCCTAACCTAAACTAACCTAACAACCTAACCTAAGCTAACCTAACCTAACCTAACCTACCGCCCACCCCATCCCCTTTGACCCAGTGTCCCATTGGCATCCATGTTCCATGCCATATATATGTACCATATTAAGAAGTTTTGTTTAGCTGCCTTATTCTCATTTTGCTTTTCATTTCCACCCAACAACATCATTTCCCCACCATGGTGACAAATCTACAAACAATATGGAAAACCGCTTGGATATGCAAGGAACGTATTTCATAGGATTCTTGTTACCTTGGCCTCGTGCATTTTTATGGTTCTTGATGCGCAGTAATGTTGTAATCACACAGTACTGTTGTGATCGTGTGTAACAATGGCGCCGGGGTCGCGGTTGCTGCGTGTTTGTGGCGCTCAGATGTTTGCTATCATAGTTACTTAAGTTCCAAGGTAAGAGATTAGATGACCTGTTTTTATGTTCTGCCTTAAAAATGATGGTTGATGTACAGTGCTCTTTTTTAACATGAGGTAGCAAGGTATACCCTGATCAAATATATATTTTGTGACAACACCATTCCCATCATATTATCTTTTACAAAGGTGCCTGCATACACTCCTGCTGAGGCCTCCACTATTCTCAGGGTGTCCTTGGGGTGCAGGATATTGGGGAGGGAAAGCAAAAACATGACAGTAATTCTCACAAAGGTCTCAGGAGGCAAACTTTTGAAAAGCAAGTGTAATTCTACAGCTTCCATTTTAAAAAGGCACTTCACTCTATCTCCCATAATGCTTTTGCACCCTGAGCAGCTTACCTATCAGTTTCTGGAAGAACAGTATTTAAGTTCACACTTTTCACTTGAGTTTACTTGAAGAGATGGCACTCCTTTATTGTAAGGTTAGGGTTAGTTTTTGGCAAAGAAAGTCTGTGACTTACTTCCTTTACATATATTAAACCAAGGTCTGTTTGGTTGCAAGAATGCTTCTATGGTTTTGAACATGGTTGGTACTTGGAACATTGCCAATGGACATCTATGAGCCAGAAAGCACAGGTCATTTTTAAGTAGTCAATCTTTTTGCTAACACATTGTCGACAAAAAGATGTCAGTTTACAGGCCAGCACAGTTTGACCCAGTTTGCCCAAGATTTCCATGCTTTTGTTGTATGCCTGCTGAGGTGACACTTCTTATATGGTAGAGAGTGTATTCGCAGCAGCCAAGATGACACAGAACCCATGCTGTCAACAGCACTCATTTTTGTCATCAGCACAACAGGATTCTTGCCATTATCTTTTATGTTGAGTCAATGTTAGGATTTCATGCCTGCATGATACATTTGCTCAGAGGACTTAATTTGGTCCTTGTTAGAACCAAATGGAACATTGGCTTTTGCAAATGTTTGTAATTTGACCCAGCACAAGTCTTGAGAACTTTCGCCAACCCTGACTGATAGGTTTTGATATTGTGTCGCCAATGGTGCTGATATTGTGCCTGTGTGGGTAATCTTAGCCTGTTTTTTTGTTGTTGGTGGTGGTGCGCATAGCCGCATGTGGATTGCTCTGGCAGAAATTGCATTGTTTGCACAGTTCACGTCATAAGATCATGGCTGTAATGATGTCTGTAATTCCAGACGGGCGCGACTCTTCGCTACCGTAGCTGACGCGGCCGATAGTGGTCTGCCGCGCTGCTGACAACAGCCTGCCGCGCGGTGCCGTGTCGAGTGCCGCCCGTGAGCGCGGGGAGAGAGCGGCGGCGGCGGCCGGCCGGCAGTGCATGGCCGCGCGGCGGCGGCGGCGGCCCGTGAGTGGTGCGGCACCAGCGAGGTGCGGGCGAGACCGGGGCGTGCCGAGAGCCGCCGCCCGGGCGGCCCGGTGATGGTGATGAGTGCCTTCAGCCAGCTGGACCTGGAGAAGCGGCTCTCGCAGCTTAAGGACACGGCCGAGAGCATCCAGACGCTGTCCGCCTGGTGTTTGAAGCACAAACACCAGCACCGGCGCATTGTGAACAGCTGGTTCAAGATCATCAAGCGAGGTAGGTGGTCTGGCTGACCCGCCAGAGACTCCTCGGCACACTGATGTCACTGTGCCATCGACAATTCAGGCTCCTGTGCCGGATTGTTGGTAAGAAAATGCTTGATGTTTGATAATCACAGTTATGTGGGACATGATTCATGGAAAACCAATTATTTTCTCTAGAAATGAAATCCTGGCCATGCCTTCGCTCACCCCTGTTTGGGGCTCCAGCCATTACGGTGGCCACTAGCGCCGGAGGAGGGTTCATGGCGCAGCCGGGGGTCGGACCTACTTGGGAGGCCCACGTCGGAGCTGTGGTCCCAACCATCTATCAAAGTGGGAATTTTGACTTGGGGATTCATATTTCAGGGTTGGAGTACTTTTTGCCAACCAGTTTGGAGGTGAAAGTTTGTATCTGCTTCCATATACGAGGTGGAATAAAAGGGAAGCTTAATGCGTTGGCGGTAGTTTTGCTTGTAGAGATTGATTGTTTCATGTATGCTTTGATAATCAACAACGATCAGGCAAAGCCATTGACTAGGCTCATTTAAACTTGCCTTTAATATAATACATACCTCACAACCAATGAAAACTACTAAATTACTCCCGATCTACTTTTTCAAGAGCACTCTGTAATCCGTATGTTGTTTCCCCTCGCCTTGATGATGGGATCCTCCCCCCCCCCCCCTCTCCATGGTTTCATGTTTGTACTGAGGATGCCTCTCCGGAATGTAGTGCAATCGTGCAGTATATTTAAGCAGTCTATGAGGCATTTATTGCGTGTATTTTCACGCCAAAAACGTGTTCCTAGCTTTTCTGGTGTCGGAGCAGCGGCTGTTTTTGAGGAACACTGCACGGCGATCTACGGCCTGAGTGGCCTAAAAACTAGTACCAATCGCGATATTTCGTCGGGACCAATCCGCGGATGTTCTCTGCTAAGCTCCGTCGTCATTATTTTGGAAACGCCAGGCGGGTCGCCTTAATCCTCCGCATCAGTCCGCGTTATGAAAACGAACGATGCCGCGGAGAGCGCGCGGTGGGCCGACATTGTTACATTAACGGAGTCATGTACCATAAATGTA